GATTATGCTCCCGTCAAGTTGATAAAGTGGACGCTTGAAAGACACGCCGCCGGCACAAGGCCATGCGGTCAGCTTAGTTATTCTGAGTCAACAAGAAGCAGCCGAAGCCGCGTGGTTTTGTTCTAATAAATGCGCTTTTCCGTGAGGACAAAGCTTTGGTGCATGTATTAGCTCTAGCTTTTCCACAGTTATCCATTTAGATAATCAAGATCAAGTAAATCATGGCCATTGTAATGAGCCTTTCGCGGTTTCTCGTTAAAACGATTAAACTTATACATGCATGGCTTAATCTTTGAAATGAACACATCAGTTCAGGCAGGATCAACCAGATATCTTTTATTTAGGTAGTTAGCAGAGCTGGAATTACCCAGTCTGCGGGTAATTAAGCTGTCATTAATATTGATTATATTGATAATTTTGGAATAAAATCTCGAAAATAATCTGAAATTAAAAATTAATGACAGCTTATTATATATTTAATTTCCTTTGCAAAAGATATCTAAATTATTTACAATTTATCAGCGGCACTTTCACAAAAGTTATCAATGGCAATTCCTGACAATTGTCTGGAGCCAAATAAATATTGCAGCTGGAGAAAAATTAGGATTATAAAGCTTATGATTATTATCAGACTCAGTTACGTGAGATGCATTTGACATATTTTGATTTAAGCTAGATAGTGAATTTAAGGGTTGATCCATTAAACTTGGAGCCTAAAACGTATATTTTTTCATTAGATTTCGTTAAATAAACTCATAGATATTTGAAAAATACCGGTAAGACGTTTTTGTTACTCTCATCGCTAGCAAAGAGCATAATTGACTCGATTATTGAATTAAGAAACGCAAGTCCGTTACAAAGGAGAAAAAGCGCAACTATGGCTAAGAGCATCATTGTGATTGAGCGATCACGAGTTGAGTTGGAAAATTTTGGTTTAAACAGATCTGATGAAGGCTTCAGCATACTAAATCTCTTGTATTATTAAATTCTGGATTATTCTACCTTGAGTAACTGATCTTACTAATTGTCTTGAAAACTTCTGAATGTCTGGAAATTAAATACTGAATAATTAACAGTAAAATAATGACCGTGATTTTCGAAGTAAATGCAACTGCTTAACAATATTTCTGAAATCTTAAAGTTTACAAAAATTTTAAAATTAATCTTAAGAAATCAAAGAATAAGATTGAAAAATTAACCTACTCATTACTTGTCTGTCTATTCGTAGAATAACTTCTTTGCCTCATTCGGCTACTAAAGCGGAGCGCTTGAACCTTTATGAATTAAAGGCCTGGTTAAAATACTAAGATGATTACCATCTTCCAATTAACAGTTATTAATACACCAAATGGTACTATAAACATTAGAATAGTATATGCAATGCATTTCTTTATCAAAATGTAGGTTATGTTGTGAAATGGGGCAAGTTGGATCTGTCTTAAATATTTATAAATGGAAGTATTCCTTTTAGATAAATTAAACCGAGAAATTTGATTAAACCGAGAAGATAAACAGGGCACCACTCCAAGTTCCAGCCATGTAGGAATGTTGATGACAAAACTGAAGAGAATCGAGCCAGCTATAGCACTTTCTACTGGTGCCAACGAGACCCATCTCTTTGCCTAGATGTTTTATTAATTTGTTATGAATTTAGTTAGATTCCTATCAAACCTTGAAAGGATGACACACACCCAGAAAGCGATGAAAACTAACGAGAACTGTCAAATAAACGCCTTAAAAATATAAATAATTCACAAGATGTTGATCTATTTAATTTAAATATTTCAACCGCTAGTCTGAGCAGTCAATGCAAGTGGATACGAGTAACGTATGATATATGGGAAAAAGTCATTCCAGAAAAAGGAGTCAGTCTCTACAACAACTACAGGAAGTACAAGGAAGAAAAAATTGCAAATCAGAAGGAGTAGATCTGCAAAAATTATTAACTTTTAGAGAAAATAGGAATTGAGATCAAGCTACCTGATATGGACAAAACAAGTAAGAAATGGTTTACAAGTTGTTGTCGCATCTCCATGTCCATAAAAACAACAATGTTCATCAAATTAGAGATAATGCCGAACAGACTGAAACCAAATAAATTATGGGGTTAACAATAGAAGTATACAAATCCATTTCTAATTAATTACCTAATCGGAGCATTAGCATAAAAACGATAGCTGCGCTGATCTGCAGAGTAAACGTCTTCTGGACAGAGCGACAGATTTGTTGAAGGTTTTTGTGGGTCAGTTACTACTATTGTTCCCTTCATTATTTTTTGAATTAATTAATTTTTTTGATATAATTCAACTAATTAATTAAAATTTAAGTTTATTTTTAAGAATATTAGAGTTGTGAATTAAAAAAGCAATTATGTTTTAAACAAGAGTTTAAATAAATTCTAGAAATAAGGATTACTCGGATGAAATTTATGCAAGAAAACGTGGGATAACATGGCAAATTTTATAAGAGTAAGATAAAAACGGAAGAGAGCATTTAATGGCGAAAAAAGAAGCATTTTAGTCTTAGCTTTAAAATTAAAAATGAAATTAATCCCTAGATGTACTATGCTGTATAAAAATATCATGACTTATAGATTGGTATTACTTATTTATCTTAGCTTATGCCATATATGAATACGTATTTATTAAAATAAGATGGCATGAAATACACCCAATAATTTTGCTGCACCGGTGTAGCTGCATCTGGCAGACAAATTTTATGTTCTATAAGTTTAATTTCAATTAATTATCGAAGTGAAAAAACATATGTTTAAGCTGTTTCTTGTTGTCTGAGATTGACAGAAAATAATGGGGGATAAAACAAAAAACAATGAATTTAAATTTATCAATAAACCCATCGAATATCTAAAAATATTTGAGTTAATTCCTCAATTATGTTATCCTATACATATGCTAAAGAAAATAAAATCCAGTAAAATTTGTAAAAAATGCACTGGATTGGCTCGAAGTAAAAGAACAAATCCATCATTGTATGTATTTTATTAAAGAGAATGCGCACATTTGACTCCCTCTTTAATAATCTTACTTCCCTTCATCAATCTGGCAAATCCGGCAGCCATAAAAGTGAAAGAAACTATATGTGTATTTACAAGTAATATATTTTCCTCCATTATTGGATTTATAATCCGCAAAATTTATATTATTTTATATCTGTAATACACAATATTTTCTTTTCATAATAAAGATAAATAGGATCCGGAGGTAAAAACAAATTAAAATATGAAGCACTAAATTGGAAAAAATATATGAAATTTTTTTGGAAATAATTTTTTCTAACTATTAAAATTTTAATGAATCTTAAGTTTTATTCTTTGTTAAAAAAGACCGAAATAGATTTTTTAGGTTCGAATAGGGGCAATATAGACTTATTGTTTCGACCCAAAAAAGTTTTTGTGCTTATTTCATCATTACTAGTTCGCAAAAAAATATGTAAAACACTAAAAAACACTAATTATTATGAATTTAAGAAGTATATGTATTAAATTCTTTGAATTCTTCATTATAAATTTTAATTAGTAACTTTCATACAAACAAAGTAAATTACATTTAATAAATAATTAATCAAAAAAATATTAAAATAAAAAATCTTTCAAGTTAAAAAGTTGGCAAGTAAGTGATAGTGAAAGTCAATTATGTTGTAGCTGTAAATTTACAGAGATCGGAGGGCATTTTGTAATTTACAAGGCAGTCTCAAACGCAAGTTTCTGATTTGCGGCTAATTCTTCCTCCCATGGCAATATCAGACTAATATTTATATTTTTTTAGTTTAAATTATGAAATGATAATTACTGGATAGCTCCTATCACGACTTAGTTCAGGCATTGAATCTGCTACACTGCGCCCAAAATCCATGTCTGTTTGCTTCAAGTTGTACGGTGCGGCCGTTCTTGGCCTGGTTGGAGGTGGTGCTTGTTGAACGAATACAGGATGTTCGAATTCCATAGATCTTTTTAGATGGATATTGTATCAATTTTAAGATAATTGCTTCTCTAAGAAACATACCTTCCCATATTTGTGATATTAGTTTTGGACGAATTTTGCAATGAATATCGCTCACGATCCAAAACAACTCCTTTTTGTGTAAAAGCAAAACTAAATTTTGATTTAAGTATTTGCTTTGGATTAGTAAAAATTTAAATTACTATGTGGCCAGCATGGCAATTAAAAAGGCAATAAAATGAAAGAAACAAGCAGCCATTTGAAGGAAAAAAGCTAGGCCAACCCTTTGCTGATAAATGTTCAAAATTAAAATTAGTTTCAAGTTTATAAAACCTCATAGGTGCCGACAATACCCTTGATGAAACGATTGTCTGCTCTATGGGAAAAGAAGAAAAAGACACCTTCGGCAACGGATGAAAGAAATGCTGAAGGTGCAATGATTTATAATAAATTTAAATTATTATATTTACTGGTCAACAAAGTTGTAGCTGTAAATAACAATGAAAGAGATGCGTAACAACACCCACAAGCACCAAGACAAATTGAGAAGAATGAAGTGATCAGGGCAAGAGCCTATAACTTTTTTATTGAAAATAAATCAAAAGCGTGCTAGGCAAATTAATTTTTGAATTATTTTAATAAAGGCATACAAGCATTATCAACGTTGAAGTATGCCATCCATAAAATTTATGCCGATTTACTTCACCAACAGGTGAATTATCATCCTCTAGGTCAAATGTGCCAGAATACCTTTAAAGACTAAATTACTTTGAAATCCGAAAAATGTTTACTTATCGTAGTCAAATTTGTAAACACAATGCAAAGGTTCATTCATTGTTGCATATCTAATAGTAGATTAATTTATGGTGATAAGTTTTTTATAAGAAGTTATTATAAAATATAGACCTCCGAAGGAGGACACCACCTCCGTCGCGAGTATGCCTTATGCAGTCCAACCAGAGGCCATGTTCATGAATTGAGTTATACTCTTGCAGATTTACTACCTGGAAAATTAGGATGGTAGAGGGAATGTGAACCAGTGATAAGAGTGATCTAAGCGATCTATCTCTTTCAATAAGTTTTTAACATACCTGCCATGATGGAGTCAAAATTGCTGCAATAGAAAGACCCATTCCTATCAATGTAAAAATAGTAGAGCAGAAAATAACTGCTTTTCGTAATGTTTCTGCCATTTAATTTGCTTATAAAAATAAAAGATTAAGCTTTATCCAATAGTAAAAATTGTGTCGCTCAAATTCAGATTTAAAAATAAAAACACGCCTTTAATTCCTAATCTTTACCATAAATATTCAAGGACGTTTGGCATGTTTCTACATATGAGAAATCATTGTAGAAATCTTCTTCGATAACAGAGAAAAGTAAAAGAATGTGAGTCGTTTGCTAGTGCCGATGTGCGTTTCGTTAAAACCCATAAATTTACCTCGCCAACCGGCTATTTCCAGCCGACGATTAAAACGACGGGCGAAAACGAATTGCCTCCAATTCAAAGCGCATTGATCGAAGGGAAAGAGTTTGTGAGGAAATATGCATGTAGCTGAAAAGCTTATGCGAGGAACAAACATAACTCAGTGAGTGCTAAATAAAGTGGCTTGGGGAAGGAAATAAAAAGATCGAGGGGGATTACATGAGCTGGATTTTTATTTCTTTACTTTTAAGGAAATTAAAATTTTAGACCCTCAGGCTTTCAATAGAGATTAAATCTTTGGTTTAAATAAATCTTAAAATTAAGGTATCTTTAAACAAATGAAAAACTATAGTTTTTCCAACCGAATATTTTTCCCTTTATGGTCATCGGCAACAGCGTGAGCGCTCTTCTTCAATGTTACAACCTAAGGAGTAGAGCGCAAGTTAGCAGAGGAAACGAAGAAAATGGGAGCATTCCATTCTTTACTGCAATAACAATAACAACAACGCATGCATTCCTTTATGAATAAATGCATGTGTGTGACAGCCGCCAGCTTCCCTACTTTTTCCACCTTATTTATACCTCCGAGCAAAGATCAATACATTTTTGGTTCGCAACGAAGAATTTTACAACCAAATAGTATAGTAAAGCAAAAAAAAAATTATTTTTAAATTAGTAAATAAATAAAATATAGGTATGTAACAGGGGTATGCCGAAACAGTTTTTAAAAAGTGAAACACGAAAGGCGAAAATCCGCGAAAGGCGTATAATAGTAAAAATTATTTCATAATTTTAAATAAAAATATTCATTAAAAAGGAAAAAATGGATATGTATTTTATAAAATTGTTGCTTCGTTAAAATTTTTCTCACTTTTCACCTATTCTTTTTTCATCTAAGCGATTATTATTTAGATTATGAGTTTCATTATCTTCTAAGAATGCTTCAGCCATGCATTGCACAATTTGTATCCATTTAAGTTTTGTAAATTGAAGTCTATATTCTGGCAATTCAGTCAGTTTATGCATATCCTCAATTGTGCGACATTCATTTACTAATTTCTAATAATTTGACAAAATAAAATATCAATCAAGTAATAAATTTGCCTGAAAATTTTGATCATTTTTGACTAGCTGTCGCCATCTCAGCATTTCTTGTTCTGTCAATTTTCTTGTGCCATAACCTAAAATAAGCTGCTTAAATTTAACATCTATTTAACTAAACTAACCACGAATTTTATTGACACATCCAGTTAACACTTCCTTGTATTTTTCATCAAAATTATGTTGTTTTGATGCTGGGATGGAATATTCACCTACAGATTTATCAAATATGTGATCAAAAATTTTGTTTCGATAGAAATTCGAATTACTTTTAAATTCTGTTTTCCTTGGAGTATTTTGCTCGTTTGGCATCATATTTTTTAATTTCATTTCAGCTGAACGATAAATTTCCGTAATTGACCGGCAAGCTGCTGCAGCATTTAAATCAGCATTGATAGCATTATTGTTACTTAAATAACGTTAATATAAATTGTTTTTGATTTTCTGATCATTACGATCAACTAATGTTTTTCTGATCATTTACATATGATTAAATAATAAGCCTTAATTATTTAATAGGAGACTTACTCCCTTTTTTGCAATCCATTCTCATTCCATATAAGTTCATCGTCAGAATTCAAATTATTGTTGCTGTATTTATCATTTGCAGTGTTTATTGTCAAAACTATACAAAATAAACTCTATTATGTATATGGCATTATTTATAATTTACCTCCTCTCGAAATTGTTCCCTCAGTTATGCATCCACTCCTGAAATTCGAAGAAGATGAAGAAAGTTGCTGTTGTTTTTTTCTTATAAGGACAGTCGTCTGATTTTGTAATTTTCGTAAAGAACCAAAATCAAGACGGTCGAAATGCCTTCATGTGAGAATTATATTAGTTATTACGGTAATTCTATAATATATAACGATAATTATTACTCATTTGTTATCCCAAAAGCGGTTGGTTTGTTGTTGTTAGCGACATGGTTCCGCAACTCTTGTAAGTGATCAACACCATACTCCTCGCATGCTAGAATATCTCATAATTTTATTTGTATTTTTTAATTTACCCGGGGACAAGGATACAGAAGAGGAATTATTTTCTAACACTGGAGATGTATGCCTAGAATTTATATGATTGAAACGAGAGTGATGCTGATCAAGCTGATTTTTTGACAAGCGATTTTGCCTGAGCCAGTAGAAAATTGCAAGCAACACACAACCCAAAAAGAAAATTCCCAAAAGAGCTATCTAATTAAAACGAATAACATTAAGAGTTGTTCGCAATGTTCACTTATACCATGCCAATAATAACAAATGAAGAAATGGAACTTCGACGTTTCTCCCAGATATTATTTGAATCAGATTCTGCTTCTTTATTAAAACGTGTAGCTGCGATCTTGAATAGATTGGCAAATGAATTTATAGATTATAGTTTAGTTACCTTTTCTGGATTATCCTCTTGTATCAGATTAGTGTTAATATTTCTCTCAATATCCCCTCCAAATCGAGCTTCATTTTCTGTAGTGGGGATATTGCTACAAAAATTATTATACGATTATTATTATTAAAGATCCTTGTTATTACAAAGAAATAGATGGGGAAGGAATTTGGAAAATTCCTGTCGATGGATTAGCTTTTTGATGCTGCACTATATCCGAAGGCAAGAGCAATGGAAGAGTTATCTGACTGTCAAAACTCGAATCAGCAGACTCTTGTTTCGAAGATTGCCTGAATGATTTTATAATTCTTAATAAAATTCTTCTAACAACTTTAAATTCTTTTCATTTCCGAGAGAGTTTTCAATTAACGCTGTTTGTATTTTTGCTGATGGTCTTGCAGTTGCACTTCGTTGTGGCAGTCGAAACTCGTTTATCTTAGGTAGTCCATAAATACATTTCTTAAATGAGCTACTAAATGAGTTACTAAAAATCACATACAAATTCGTAATTAAGATCTTCTGAAAGTATGAGACCAGGAAAACTGCATAAAAAATTATTTTAATCAGTGAATTTATCAGGACTGTTCCCTGTTTAGAAATAGCTAATTACCTGGCTATTCGTAGAGTATTTTCATATACTCCTAAAATAATTTAATATTTAACTAAATACATCAAATATAAAATCAAGGCACCTGCAGAGATCATTCTTGTAGCGCAAGGATCATTAGGTAAAGCAATTTGAACAACATATCGTAGCTCACCGTTACCTTTTAGCCTGCATTCTGTACGCATGGTGTTACCAACCTTAAATGGTTAATAAATTCATAATTGAGTTTAAAAATCCAAACAATAATCCATTCGTGAAATTGTCCTTCTGGGTACATTTTCTGGTTGAAATGAATATTAAGTGTGATCATTTTAGGTCCACATTCAGCTGATACTATTTAAATTTATGAAAATTACTAGATAAATAAGACTAGATCAAGAGATTAACTTACTCTTGACTTTATCTTCTTCTGCATTTCCCGATAATATTGGAAATATTTGTTGGGCATTAGCTTGCCTTACACTGTTAAACATGCTTAATTTCTGCTTATCAAGGTCAAATAAAAGTATACTGAATATGTACATTAATTCATAATTTTTAAAGACCATCTCTAAGAAACTTAATGAAATAGTATATTTTATAATTTTGAATTTTAAAAGTTTGAAATGTTTTGGGATGTAAAAGATTTAGGGTGTAAAAATTAAAATTCAAAATATTAAAAAAGCAGTATTTTGTTTAATATCCTGCGCGCCAAACCGTGAAAGCTTAGCAGGTTTTAAAAAGATTGACATTAATACTTTAACAATTATTATTACACATTACATTAATTTTATTAAATAATGGATAGGAAATCGCTTATATGAATCGTTAATCCTCAAATATTTTGGGTCCTGCATATATTGGTGATCCAATAAATTGAAAAAAATAATTTATATTACGCGTGTAAAATCAAAGTCTAATAAGGCATAGGTTGATTGTTTTGTCTATCGAGTGTGTAAATAATATAAACCAATATCCAACAAACACAAAAAATAGGCATGTATTCATTCAAACTTCCGACTACTATTGAGCTTTCCCAATTGTTGTTTTCGTGCATTCTTTTCACCCGATTCTTTCTAAGCTCTTCCTCTTCCAAAATAATAATCCACACACAAAAAATCCACTCACATCCAACGTCCCTGAAAGAATTCAAATATCCTCTACCTCAGCTACCTGACGCCAACAGAAAGGCGCAGAATGCAATTTTTGCAAAGCGTGATGGCCACCTAATTATCCAAGTAATGCGCACAGCGATTGAGATTACTAATTAAAATGAATATAAGACAAAGAAGTTTATGGAATATATTGTAAAATAAAAAACAATTTACAAAATTATTTTGAAGTTCAATAATAAACAGTGCTGGGTATATCTCTGGGAGCTAGCTCTGGAGATAGAGTTAAGGCTGGAAAAGGTTGGAGCCAAGTCACAAACCCCCAATACCCAACACTAATAATAAACTGATCAAGATAATGAGAGATTTTATAATAAAAATATCCGATTTTTTTATCAATATCCAGCAGGGTAAGTAGCAGTCTTACGTCGAAAATCACTTAATAAATTTAATAATTTAATAAATATTTAAAAAGATAATTAAAAAATGCATTGAATATTTTTTCCTCAAAAAAACTTTCTTTTATTAAAAACCTGTTCCCGTGAATGAATCCATCGTCCATTAAAATTAGAGCTTGTACAACACTAGCTTGTTTTTCTATTGCTAAATAAAAAAATGTTTTTTAAAAGTGAAATATTGTAAGATAAATGAAATTTAATAAATTTAATGCAAGCTAGGCTTTTTAAAAATAAAATTTAATTAATACAGGTCATATTTTGATGCCGTGTTTTCACCAAATGCTTTATGATTTGCTAAAAAATGATTAAATATTATATAATCATTTTTAAAGCAAATACATACTTGAGGTACAGTCTTTTCAAATTCTCTGAAATGAGTGTAATTAATATTTAATACTTATTAATAGGGTTGCCAGCTTGCTCGAACCTAAACTCGAAAGATTAAACAAGTCAAACGATCAAGCGAGCCGACGGCAACCCTGTTGATTAAATATATTCACGTACGTAACATGAGGTATAAACTGATTATGAAAACGAGGTGCATCAACTGAATCTTTTACTGTCTAAAAGCGGAAATAATTATAAAACTGTTTATTCTCAACAAAAACCTGATTAAAGAGAAGCGCGCGAATCACAGTCTAAAATTTGAAAGAATGATTTTTATTATCTTTGACATAATGGAGTTAGATTAGAGTTAGACATACCGGGATAACCGTTTACCTTGGGATAATGAATACTTAAGTTTAGATTTACCTAATACCCAATAATTAAAAATTTAAACAATTGGTTTAAAAATATTAAAGATTTAATATTCGATAATTACCTGTGCAATTGCTGATATGATCCTTAAAATATCATCTTGATTAAAGATATTTAGATAATTATTTACCTAGACCCTCCCGAAGCACCAATTGCCATTTTAACCTTTTTTAATAGATATAATTAAATTAAATGTAATTCAAATTTCAACCTTTCCGCTATTTTTGTTGTAAATTACCTATTAATTTTAAAGCAACAATATTTAAATATTAATTGATACTGTGGGGCTCATAGAAGACATTGGCCTTTTTTTGGGTAATATAAAATTCTCAGGCGATGGCGAAAAGCCAAAGGCATTGGTTAAATTTGGTGAGCTAAAATATTAGCTATATAGAATTTATTTGATCACAGAAATGTATGTAAATTTTTAAGCACAAATTCAACCTGAAATCATCCATTGAGTCATTCCAAATTATGCCTAAAATACTTATATTGCTAGAAATTTGACTTGAAATTTTACCCAAGGTTGGAGACATTCTCTTCGAGCCCAATCTTAAATTAAGGATATTTCTATTAATAAACATCTGTTAATATAACAATTGATTAATTGAGCTAGTCGCCGAAACGGCATTTCCTTCATGATCAATTGCTACAACATGTGAAGTTCCTAAGATTTAAAATTCTAAACAAAAAATATCGAGGTTTCAACCATGATCAGGTACATGGCCAGTCAAGTCTAATGAATAGTATTTCATTGGCTGAGCTTCGTTTGGAATAAGCGATGCTATCCATTTTGCAAAGGCACTTAATCGCAAAGTTTAATTTTTATCTCACAGAGTTTATTTTATTATTAAGGAGATTATTAGACTTTAGTGCTTAAGTATAATATGTATTTACTGTTTGGTCATATTACGGCTAACATGTCTTGCGTTTTTCACAAATGCCGCATCACCTGCATGGCAATTATTGAGTTATTTATTTTCAACTTTTAATCAAGCTTGCCCAGTTTTGTTCTCTGCGCATAGGCAAACTTCTCAATTTCAATCAGTCGATGATAAACTAGTGGATCGTCCAAGTTTGCCTCTTCATTACGGTAAAAGTCTATAAATTTTGAAGAATTCCATTGAAATTTCTATATTTTACAAACGGGCCATAATGCCGATGATAGATTGAGTGATGGCAAATGAAGATGGAGGCGGTGGGCCACACATAACCAGTTCCTCTGAAAGCAGCTCACTTTCTAACGGAGCTTCATGCAAAACTGATCTAAGTTTTATATCATATAATAAGCAAAAATTTTTTTTGCAAACTCGTATTGCTCGAAATCTTCAACTGTAATATATCCTCCATTGTCTCTAATTTCAGCTGCCAAAGTTTGCGCTATCCCACCTTTTAATAATATTATAATTAATCATAAAGAACTCAAATATGTATGTGATATTTAAGAGTACACCTTTGTAAAACAATTCAACAGGATTTTGTGAATCTGACAACTCAACCAGCTTTTAATTAACAAAGTTTATTTATCACTGAAATAATTTATAATTTTTCTACCAATTCTGCCAGACGCTCCCGCTTCATCATATCACCCTCTTCGTAGACTCGACCCGTTTTCTTGTCAACGAACACGCGACTAAATTTATACTTTATATAAAAGTATTAATCAGATAGCTGACCGCATGTCTTCATCTTCATTTATGTCACTTTCTTTCTGTTGCAAAACCATTGCCAAGTTGGATGAGACAGGAAATCCCTCCCTCGCCAGTTTTATAGCCGGTTCAAATATCCTCTTCCAGGATACACGAGATGAACCAAACTTTGTAAACGCAGACCAATAACCATGTAATTCTCCTGGTACAGCAATGGAACTGTGAATGAATTTAAAGAATTTTAATATAGTATTTTTAGTACCGATATCCAATGATAGATTCTCTATGATCACGCTGATACATTACTGAATTTGACTTAATAGGCGCTACTTCCCGAGCGTCTATAGTTTGACAACGCTGCAAAATATGTTCAGAATTTTCAATAAACTATATTACTTGAGTGCTTGTATTGTATATTGTCATAAAAAATCCGCCTCCAAGTCCCGAGGATTGAGGATTAATGACTCCGATACAGAGAAAGCTTGCTACAAAAAGAATAAATTATTTGAATTCAATTGCTAGCCTTGGAATATTTTTCAATACAAATAAGAATTTGAGAATCTAAAAGGTACTAATTATACCGATCATAGCATCAACGGAATTTCCGCCTTCCATCATAATATCTCTAAAATCATGAAAATTTATTCAAATAATTCTAATAATAATTTCAATTTTAATTATTTCACCTTCCAATTTCACTGCAAAGACCTATTAATATTAAAATTTAATTGAAAATAATGTCAGACAAAGCACCATGATCAGTTGCTACAGCGGCACGTCTATATTGCGCATGGAGACTCCCAGAAGGAGGAGGCCATTTTAATGGTTGTGGCACTGAATTACTACTGCTATTCCTTCTGTTTTTCCGTTGTTTAGACAATTCCATCCCATCAACTGATAGTGGTCCAGCATCCCCATCAGTGATTTTATTTTCCCATTCAGAAGAATTCGGTGCTATATCGTTGGAACTTTCAATTGTTACATTATCCTAAATTAACATATTTCTTTGTTTATATTTTTAAGATATTTTGCCTCGTTTTTTAAATTACTAGTGATATTCCCTGTTAGTTCATTCGCTTCATTCGGTCTTGAAAGAGATGAAGATGAACTATTGTTCCTGTTTTTTGTTTGATCTTCTTCATTGCTTTTTAGACTCAATTTTAAAACTAGTATAACAGTTGCGACCATAAATGTAACACATAAAATGCTGATAATTATAGCGAACCATTTGAACCAGCTTGGATAAAATTTTAATTAAAATCTGAATTAAAATACTACCTATTGCTTTGCTCTCGCTTCTCCATTTGGAAGGCACTCGGAGACGAACCTGTTTCTCTTGAGGAATATTCATTTCTCACCCGTGACATTAATATGAAAAATGGGCAAGAAAAATCTTCAAAATAATGGGCCAATTAAATTTTTTAGATAAGAATAAGAGTATAGAATTATAAAATTTAAATAAATGAAATATTTAATCAAATTATTTAAATTTTAAAATCAATTAGAGACAAATTTCATTCAAATTTTTTAACAAAAAGTTGCAACGATTTCTCTTAATGTCAGTCTCCCGCTGCTCATCAATTCATATTTACTTGCATTTTTCTCCCTTCTCACTCTCGACTATTAAAACCTCAATTTAAAACGTTCGTTCGATTAAAAAAGAAATACGAACGAGAGAAATTAAAAATGAGCCCAATCCCCGCATAGGCAATAAATAAATATGTATATCTTTGTAGTATGTCCTCTCAAATTTAGAGTAATTTAATGGTTATTTCGCTCCTAAATTTATGTGCAGGAAACCACTAATTTTTGCTCAATGCTCTTTTTATTTCAACCTTTTTTTTTCAATTTTTATTCCAACCTTTTTTTCAAAATAGAAACAACCCCAAGATATATCTAGTGTATGTTTTAGAAATTATGAGAAGTAGGTGTTCACTTAAAAAATTATATCAGAGAGTTGTTGGAGTTACATCAGTCAGGACCGGAGTTCCACGCAAAAAATCCCAAAAAACCTCAAATGGATTTCTAGTTAAAATATTTTATATCCAGTCCTATCTATCCCTTTTTCCAAAAGATAATTGCCAAAAATTGTTTTAAATTTATCTATAAAATCGATGTAAATGTATTTTAATAATAGAGAAATAATTGTTGGAACATCGATTTAATAAAATTTTAGTAAAATATTTTAAAAGATATAAGTGAAGGTATTAGAATTTTTCATCATTCTAATTCAGTTAATGAGGATAGAGGGATTTATCATTATATTAAAAAATTTAATATTTATAAAAGCCCTAAATGCACGGATTCTTCATCCATCAAATTAATTAATGGCACTAAAAATGAAATTAAAATGGTTCTTAATGATTTTTATTTTTAGAATAATCATGGGATTTATTAAAAAGGGATTTCTAGCTGCTTTTCTTGAAACAAAAAATATTCTTAAAATTCTGGTTATTCGATAAATAAACTCGAGAATTTCGAGAATTTAAAACAACAGGTAAACGATTGAGAGAACGCAAACATTTACACTTTTAACGTCTGAAAATTTAATTATTTGTAAATAAAAATGTGCGCAGGATGTAATATATAAAAGTGAAATTAAATTGCTCAAAATATTAAACAAACTTTAACTTGAGTTAAAAAATTAAATTAAGGATTGAATTATAGTTTGAAAAGACGTTAATAGTATTGTTAATAATAATAATGTGAAATTATTAAATAATAATAATATTTAGTAATAAATGCTTAAAAGAAAGTATTGTCAACAATATAACAATAATGCGATAATTTATTACAGCTATTATTTGATTATTATTAAGTATTTATTTTATTATTAAGTGTGCCTTTTATTATAAATACCACGATTTTTAGAACACACGCCCCATGTTATATTAGAGCACATAAAAATGCTAAACTTTTTATTTTTTATTCATTAATTTATAATTTTACAATGAAAAGATCTTTAAGAATACAATAAATTTTGATAATAAATTCGTTTTACTCATGCATTACTAATCTTTTTGGGTATTTCTGTAAGTCGCCTCGACCTAATCTTACCAGCTAGAAGAGGATTTAACGCATAAATCCAATCGAAAACCTTAAAATAATCAGTTAAATTTTATTATTAAATAGGTGATTTTACGCATTCCCCTGCCAAGGGTTGCATGAAAAATGCCCGATTATTTGTATAAACAGAAAAGGCATTTTCCATGCCAACCACCAATTGTTGTCCATCTTCATATTCAATCTTGGAAATTGCCAAATTTATTAAGCCTCTTACTACCTAAAAATTATTGCGATTATTTTTTATTTATAACAATCACAAAACCAAATCTTTTTCATCTCTATATAGCAGAATATAAGGTCTTCGAATAACCACCCATCTTCTAATCCTAAAACATATAATTAGTAATTTTGTGAATTGTAAGAAGTCTCTCACCATTCATTGCGCACTCCTTCCATGAAATTCATATATCCTTTTCTTGAAACAATTAAGCCTACACGCTCTTCTGTTACCTAAAAGTTTAGTAATAAAATTTTAGTGATTTTTTTATCAATTTTTATTTTCAAATTTACATACATCAGGCAAAAGTCTTGTTGAATTTTCATCCTTGAACATGCAATTGCCTGAAGTTGACCTTTTCATAGACGATTCGCCTCCAATTCCCAAATCTGGGGCATTCAGATTGTCAAAGGATCGAGATCTACTCCTCGTTACAACGTCCAAGGTAGCGGGATTGTTACGGCTATCAACACTTCCACCACTTTGAGAGCTTTCACTACTCAGAGCCTCTAACTATAATAAAGAGTTATTTATCTCATTAGAAATTGATGATTAACCTTCTTTCCAGTTGGAGATTCCTTGTTGACAGGAATTCTTAATTTAATCAGATGGATTACTTTCTCAGCAATTTTCTTCTCTAAAGGCGTTAACTTAATTTTGTCTGGAATTTGAAATTTCGGAGCTGTTGGTGTCATCTTTGAAAAATTTTAGAATTTAAATGGAAATAGGGAACATTGCGAGTTACTGGTGTATCCCCACTGCCCAATTTTCTAGAACGCCTAAGTTTAAGAAACAGTCTCATCCGCTCTACTTGCTGCAATTTACTAAGCTTTTCTAATTCGATTTGATGCTCGAGAATGATTGAGTCTCCTCGTGGCCTGAAAAGATATAGGGCTTAATTAGTGCTAAGTTTTGTCATTATACCTCCATGTTCCCAGGTTCTCCTCTCCGCGAACATCTGAAATTTAATTTTTAATCATCAAAAAAGCAAACTAACACGTCGATGATGTATCTAAAACACGCCTTTGTCTTCGACAAGCACCTTTAAATGTTTCAAATTTAAATTATCAAGATTATTACCAGGACTGTTTTCTTCATTTTCCTGCATCAACGTGAGCAAATAAATTCCAGGTACTCGATTCATTTCTTGAAATTCGTAAATTTAATTTAATAAACGTAAAATTTACCAGGACTTTTGGATATTCCCCCAATTAATGAACGGCAAAAGCGACTAGCTGCGCTAACCTTAAAGCTCGGATGAATAGGCATTCTTATTAAATTAATGAATACCTTCGAATCTCTCGCATAAATGAGCATGCAAACATCCTTTGTTATGATGGCTGGTTGTGAGCAATTTTCTAGCTCCATGTAAGCCTACAATAAAAATGATTAACAAAGGTTAAACTAAGAAATAATTCACCGATATTGTCATGTAAACTTGTTCACCATAACCAGAAACGCGATTTAAAAGTGAAGAATTATGTAATGAAGAATCCCATGCAGCTTCGAATTGAAAGAATACACTAAAATATTTTGAATGAGCTCTACTTTAATCCAAATACCGATCATCCATTGCAAATTCCAAATAAGTTCCAGGAAACAGTCCCAAACTGAGAACATCATCATCATGCCCACCAGCCCATTCAGCAGTATTTCTTATTCGTCCAACTACCAGCTGATATTTTTAAGTAATGATAAAATCATATTAAAAGTTAACCTCTTGACAGTCTCTCCATTGTATATCACCTGTTATTAATATTAGTAACTTAATCCCTATTGTTATTTCTGACCTTTCTCATGACAAATTGTAATTTTTATACGTCTTTGAATCCCTTGATGGAGGAGAAATACCCCGTGTGTTGGAAGGCCATTTGCGTGATCAACAATCTAAAAATAAACCAAGATTGAATGATAAAAACTAAAATATCGACAGCAGGGTGATATTCTCCATTACTTCCAAATTCGCATATTTCAAACCAAATTAAAAGATCATACTTTGCCACAACTGGGTTTCGTCTTAAAATACTTAATGAACTTTTAAATAAAAGTCATTAATTCAAAAGATACCTAGTTAAAGAGTTCCCTGTTGTAAACCTGCTCTTAAGTGGAGTTGCAATGACTAGAGAAGGTTGGAGATTGCTCATTGTTTTGGAGATTTTTGATCAGAAAATAATAAAAAAAATTATTAAAAGTGAGTAAATAAATTAGCTACTTTTCTTGGCAAGCATTGGCAAACATGCTACTAACATTTATTTTAGTTAAATGCCCAAAAACTTCAAAAATCATCGGGAAATGTTGGAGATAATGAATGAATGCCGGATTGGCTACAGTTTTTAACTCCTTCAAATTAACGTTGAAAAAAAAATCCTTAGTAAATTGCACCTGAACATAATTATATCTCAGCGTTCTAGTTCCATCTGTTGCTGTTCCCTTCACTGGTTCAGTTGAAAAAGCTTCATCATGACGATGTAGAAAACTGTAATAGTTGTACATAAATATAAAAGTAAAAATTACTTAAATTGACAGAAAATATCAGTGTAACAATCGTCTGGTATTCCGAGTAGTTCAACTACAGTAACCCGGAAAGTAAATTCCTGATCTCGAGCAATATGTGAAGGAAATACTGCCTCTAATTCTGTTGATTCTAAAATTGATTCGAATATTTTGGTACAAAATTTTCTTTTAGGTACCATTATCAGAAAGATATCCCTCTGAGGGGCTAACAGCCACAGGCTTTGCAGCTGCTACATTCATACTTGATGCAGATGAAACGATACGCCCACCATCACTACGTTGCATGTTTTTTAAGAAATGTTCTTTCCGAAAATACAATCTGGCCACTTGACTAGTGCTGTTAGGTGTTGCCTTCTCGACCTCCTTGACCTTTTTACTGTTCTCCAACATTTCAACTTTAACTCGAAGAAAGCCGATCACTAAACTCAGAGATATGATATCATAAATTATTGAAATTTATAGATGATTACCATCGCCTCGTTCATTTACAACTGCAACTTTATGACTTAGTGAAACATCGAAAAGTACATTGTTCAAATAAACAAATGCTCTTAAAACATATTTTCATGATTGATATGGATCAAAGTAAAAATTACCTCCCAATTAAATGAAACCAAGGAAAACGTTCGTAAAATGGATCTGTAAAGATTTATGGGATTTATTTTTCTAAAAACTTTATTACCAGCCCCAAGCCACATATCATCCAGATTATTATTTTCGTTAATGTCTAGATTATCTTCTGAGGTGATCGTTTCTTCCATAATGGGCAATTCTTTTGTTTTCTTCCGCAATTTCATTCTAAATATAGAAACAATTTAATTGCTGATTGTGAGATTAAAGATGCGACCTTTCTGGGGCTAATCCTGCTCCACTTGCAGGAAACATCATGTTTAACAAATCACCTACGGTTCTCAAATCAGGACGTTCAGGAGTGGCATCGTTTACATCGGCATTGTACAAACGTCTCATATCTTCTAGTCTTGATCTGATAAATAATTAGTTTCCTTTTCCAAAACAAAAATTATTTACTTAAGTTTTTCTAAGCTCCAATGATGAATAGCACCGTTTTTTAAGTCTCTCACTTCCACAGCAACAACTAAAAATAATTGTTTTAAAAGCGATAATACGTTATAAGAACCAGTCTTTGGATAAGGCCTCAAACTCAAATTTTCACCGGGTGGTAATAGTTCAGGTGGAAGGGGGCTGTACACTAAAATTATTAATAAAAATTTTTAATCAAAAATATTATTCTCGAACTTGTATCAGTCAAAAGAACAAATTGATACTCTACTCCTTTCCGTAAATCAATCGAAATGGCATTTGCTTCTTCTGAAAAAATTTTGAATTTTAATTAATTTCATGTTAAGTTGTATCACTCAGAAAAATAGCATTTCCCCAGAGATCATCACGAACAGAAGTAAACTGATAATAACGCCATTTCATAGCTGCCTTATGCACTTTAATTGTTAAATCAGGTGTCCATGGATCATCATTGACTAGAAAATTTTAAATTTTTCCTATAAATTATTTTATTTATTACCCTCAGCTAACAGACTTTTGCTTAATATAAATTCACTGTTATTCCAGCTTGAACAGCCAGATGAAATAAGCTGACTTTGAGCCAGATCAACTTGCTTTTGTAAACTTTGTATTCGACTTTCATATTCCTTTGTAATAATATTTACAAGCATTAGTATTAAATTTTACGTTATTTCTTCGTTTATGCTCACGTTCCATCTGTTCCATTTCCTTACGAAACTGTTGTTCTATTTCCACAATTTTCTTATCCATTTCCTGTTTCAAGTCAATCCCTTGGCATTGATAAAGTTCGTTTTGAGCAAAGCGCCAGTCAATGGGTTCCTTTGATGAAGCAACTCCGGCTAGGTTATGCTTGCTTTGCCTAACTTCCTGGGGATCTAGAAATATTCAAGTGACTAAACTAAGTAAATTGCTTTAATAAAGACCATTGAAACGAAAAACATGGCATCGACCCAAAATTATTCGACAGCCTGAACTAAGCTTCATAGATTGTCCAGCTTAAAAACAATTTGGGTTTTAAGTGATTAAAATTCCAAACATTGTAATGGCTCTCCATTAACAAAGATTTCTCCCTCGATGGGGACAACGGAAACAGATCCAGAGGAATTGTCAAACTGGCAGTGTTGATTTTTTATATATTCACCGCTAAGCAAAATATCCGGCCTCGGTTTTGCTTCATGCCGTCCTACCCTAGAAATTTTTTATTTATCTGTTTCTTAATTTATACTACATCGTTATGCCTTCCTTGAGATAATATAAAAGGCATTCACTCATTAATGGATCTTCATTTAGATTTACTAAATGCGGAAGCTTTTTCGGTGAAAAAACACCAAGTGCAGAGCCTAAAAATTTTGAATATTTACACCAAAAGACTTTCATACCATCGGCAGATGTTGCAAGCCCTAACTCGCGCAGTTCTTCCGATTGAAGTTTTCTGAAGTTTTAAATACATATCTCTAATCTTAGTATTTTAGTAAGAATCAAACATACTTAAGGGTCTCTGTCTTTTTAAGCTTATCCTCCCATGTTTCATTTAATTCAGCAATCAGTTTTTCTGATGTTTTTAGTTGCTCGATTGTATCCTCCTCACCGGAATATATTTTTGTATCGGGAGAAACCTCACCGTTTTCACCTACCTATAAAATTTATATTCTATTATTAATCTAAAGTAGAATTTGGAAATAAATTCTCACTTCAACTCCACGATTCTTGAGAAGAGAACGAAGTTTTAGTACTTCCTCTTTCAGTTCTCTTATAAGTTTTGCGTTTGGATCTTCATTTACTTTGGCACGGCACATAATTTGTTTGGCACTATCGGCATATCTATGAGTATATTATTATTAAGGCTGTGATTTATAGGCAAATGCCTTTTTTTTCTGCAAGCTTGGCATGATGTAATACGTTCAAAAAACGTGTTTTTAGCTTGGTCCGAATAGTTTAGCATGACTTTTAGTTTGCCTATTTTTGCCTATTTCGGACTTTTTGGGCCTTTTTGCCTATTTTGAAATTTTCGGTACTATTTTTGCCTTTTTTAGCGATTTTTCCTAAATTTTGCCTAAAAATCAGTGAAAATCTAAAAAAATCAGCCCAGATTTTAAAAAAATCCGTGCCAACCCCAAATTTTAATTTATAATTCGACAAATTAAGTATTTTTACTCCGTTGGACATTTTGAAATTAGACGTTTTGGTGTTGGGACATTTTGGGGTGGGACATTTTGTGGGTTGGGCAAGACTTGCTTTTTGTCAATTATCGACATTTTTAAAAAATTACACCATTTTTGCTCAAAAAATGATTTAAAATGACGAATAAATGGCAAAATGGTCAAAAAAACGACGAATAGGTGGTTATTTTCTTGTTTTTATCATAATTTTATAGGCTGATAACCTTTTTTACCTGCCTATTTTTGTGCCTTTTTTGGCTTTTTGGTGCCTATTTTAGGCGCCTATTTCACTAATTTTACTTGCCTAACTATCACAGCCTTAATTATTATACTATTACTTGAAGAATTTTGATTTTAAAGAAAGAGTTTGCAAAAGTTTAGCCACCGGGCAGGATTCGAACCTGCGACCACCTGCTAGTTGTTGCTAGGCTTTCGCTCACTATATGCAGGAGCTCTACCGTTGAGCTACCGGGGCATCGACTAATGCTTTCTCTTTTTCCTTTTTAGATCGTTTATCCCCCGCCTAAGCGTTTTAAATGCTGCTAGGTGAATCATCCTTACATCTCCATCCCTACATCAGACCGGTCCCTCGGTCAAGCGCCATGACCGTGGATCGGCTGGTTCACCCAGCAGCAAGTGGGGATCCCTGTTAGCGGCACCAGAAAGAGTTTGCAAAAGTTTAGCCACCGGGCAGGATTCGAACCTGCGACCACCTGCTAGTTGTTGCTAGGCTTTCGCTCACTATATGCAGGAGCTCTACCGTTGAGCTACCGGGGCATCGACTAATGCTTTCTCTTTTTCCTTTTTAGATCGTTTATCCCCCGCCTAAGCGTTTTAAATGCTGCTAGGTGAATCATCCTTACATTAATCACCTCAATGTGCTTAAAGTTTCCTCGAAATTAACATCAGCAGGACTTAGGGCAGCAATCATTGCAGTTTTTGAATTTCCTCCAAGGGATTCTTTCAAAAGCCATGTCAAAACAGAATCCTAATTGAGAGAAAAATTCAATTTAAATTTTAAATCCTAATCAAATCCAAACCCGATAGGGTATGACAGCCGTTCTTGATTGCTTTCCTTTCCTCTTTGTTGATTGTTCAGCCAGCTGAACAAAATTAAAATAATTTATTTTAATTTTATGTAACTTTTTTGATAACAAGTCCCAGTGTAGTCAAGCTTTTATTTATATTTGCTCCTTCCTTGAATTTGTCTTTAAATATTCTTGAGGGAAATATTATTAAAATTTTACCTTCAACCTCTGGCCTTCAGCGCCAGTTGAATCAGCTCGTTCACTACCTATTATTAGAATATTATATTTAATAATTTTTAAAAAACCTGCAAGGTCAACCAGCGAGATCTTGCTCACCTTAAGAAAGAAACAATTCAGTTTTGATTAAAGATATTAGACTTTTTCAGTATCCAAATCGTTAACATGCTCTCGTTGGGTAAGCACAATTGTAAAAATTGCATGTGAACGGGAGGACGTCGAATTCATATTTGTAGCTGCCACTGTTCTTAACAATATAACTGATTAAGCGATGTCATTATTAGGGGAATAACCTGGCTTTGTTACCAGCATCCATTAACTCAAAAATACTGAAAAATAAAGAACAGATTATAAATTCGAATTTTGCATACTCTTCATATGAGCATACAGCCATTTTCTCGAGATTATCCACATACGGACCCAAAATCGGATGTTCTCGAACTTTCAGATTTTCATTTTTTGGACACAACAAGTCCTTAACTTTTTCACAATAAATTTCCATATATGAAACCTATTAAATAGAAAAAATTCCAACAAATTTTATCAAAAAAGCTTTTACTTCTACAGTATACTTAAGTTGTTGATTCTCTCTATTTTCACTAATTCTACTAAAAATTTCGCGGCAAAGTCTTGGAATCATTCCCATTTCTTCAAGATCATTTACTTTACCCACTAAAATAATTAAGAATTTATTTCGAACAGAAAAAAAACAATCACTCATTGTATACGACTTGCCGGAACCGGTTTGACCATAAGCAAATATACATACATTGTATCTAAGAATTTAGATTTTTTTATTAAATATTTTTAAAAAATTTTATTTCCGGGAGAAAATTTTACCCGTCAAATGCGTGGTCAAGCATTTCAGCACCTTAATTTGTTTTGAATTTAGAATTAAATATTCCATCAACGAACCAATATCTCTATAAACCTTATCCTGACAAGCATAATTGACAGCTTTCCTGTCGAATGATGAGTAAGAATAATCAAACTCAAAATTGTAGGTTTGATTTGAGCTGCTTGTTATATCTATTAAATGATTTTATAATGAGATACAGTGAATTAGAGATTGGACAGGAAAGATCGTTCGAGAATCGAGAACGTTATTCGAAAAGGATAACCGAGATTTTGACTAGATTCCCCTCTCGTCTCGATCTCTAATGAAAATACATACATGTTTTTTTGTCGGACATATCGATGACGCATTTCGAAAGAAGTTCTGTAATGATTAAAATTTAAATTGAAATCTTAAAAAAGATTTCTGAGAACAGACGTATTTCTCGGCTATTAAATGGCCTAACACGCACTGCCACTTTGACTGAAGACATTGTTTTTAATAATTAAATGTTGTAAAAATATTTAATAAATAATATTTTTTATAATCTGAAAAAACAAAAACACAATGTTTTTGAATTTGTACTAAATTTATATGACGTTAATCTCAAAATACCTACATTACTAAAAAAGAATTTGAGATGCTCTCACTCATTTGTTTTGGACAAATTTATTTTGCCAGCCGGTTCTCGACTCTCATTTCTTTGAGAGGAGGTCGGAAATAAAAATCCATTAATGAATGCTAAGCAAGAGTAGTATTTCGATGGGTTTATATGGAGAAGTAAAAAATTTAATTATCCTCGCACAATGGCAAAAGGCTGAAACAATTGGATGTGGATAGATATAATGAGACATTCTCTACTTAGCTTAACTCCTCTGCATTAAATAATGGCACTCGTTTTTATCAAGGATATCAAAATGTAATTAAAACACAAACAAGCATTTATATTAAAATTTGGTGATAATGCCTACATGATTTGGTGATAAATAAGATCTAATTAAGGTTGGCAGTTCTTGGGAAACCTCGGGTATCGGAACCAGAACCTATAACCTACCCGAAATCTGGCCTTTTTCGGTTCCGGAATCCGGATATCCGGAACGCCAACCCTATATGTAAAGTATAGTTTAATATTATTAAAAATGTGTTTATAAAAAGAATCTTTCTCAGAAACTAAATTTCATGAGTTACCCAAAATAATGATGTGACTGAAAAAAGGACAATGGATTAAATAAAAATGAATATTCAATAATAAATTTATTTTTTTCTACTTGCTAGAATTTACGGCAAAAGATGCGGCTGTCTCTAAGGAAAAATAGGCATTTCTATTCATGACCTAACTTATGTCTATGGAAGCGGCTACAAGTCTTTTTCTCTACTCCCGTTGAAATTTTAGAATTTTATGTGCCAAAACAATCCATTATTTTTTTATTTCTATTTTACTATGCGTTAGCCAGTATTTTAAATGGCACATGCAATTCTCTTTTTTTTACTTTATGCGTATTGTGCATAAAGTTTTTTGCTTTTATTTTTAAAGCCAGCCCGTTTTCCTCTTTTATATTCCTCTTTGGCATGCTATTAAATAATAAACCAAATTTCATTTTTAAACTTGATAAAAATTTAAAAAGAAATTAAAATTCAAAAATCAATTCAAATTGTACAAAATAAAAATATTAAAGAAGCTATAAGCGACCCAAAAATTTTGCGGGTTTCATGCTCCAAATTTGGCATCCTTGCAATAAATAACTATAGCGATCTGTTGTTGAAAGCTGTACAGAATCGACAAAAGTGTTCAAGCCCGTTAAACGGGAGGTACCCGCCCATCTTGGCATTCCATCATTTTTCATTTCGCCAAATACTTCGAGAGAGTCGCGGTCAATGTAAATATGAACAATGTCAGGACGTGCATCTGCTGCGAGGAAACGACGATTTGGTGGATCATTACTGGATTTATAATTTATCTGGCTAAAATCCTTAATGACTTACTGCTTTACTTTCACTATTTCAAGTCCATCTTTGCTAACTTTAACTCCCAACTGTATATAATCCGGATGATTTAGTTGAAGAAAAATTCCATTATAGAAATAATAGTATTCAAGTGCTAGACGTATATAGGCCTAGAAATTTTGGACCATTAAATTGGAGACATGATTTAGTTTCCTAACTAACCGTTCCATTGGGTAATACAACAGCATTGCCTCGAAGTAATGCTTTTCCATCCAATTCAATATCGCGGAGTTGTCCCAACACATTTGGATGAGGCCCAATTAATAATTGCCTATTATTCCATCTGATTACCCAAGGTAATGTTAGAGAGGTTGACCAATCCGAAATCCTATCCCAATCTGGCCAATTTGCTAGCCAGCCAATAAGTAATGCTTCATCGTCGATTGTGTCATAAAATGCCTAAAATCATTTTATTTTTGATGAGGATGAATCAAAAAATCAAAGATTCTTTCAAAATTTACTTGAAATCCAAAAGAACCAGCACCAAAATCCAATTCTTGTTCTTCTATTGGATTAAAATTACTGCCATCAAAATTACCCAAAATAATTGGTGAAAGGTTGGCACGCCCGTCTCCGTCTTTACTACCAGTTCGTGCATATAGCAAGGCATATAACGTTTGACTTAACCTTCTCCTTCCACCTAACTGGAAGATCTGACTGCATTCACATACTTTTGTTCCAAATGCGTTATCAGTTTTGAGAACATTCTAGGATTAGCAGATGTCAACATATAATCAGATATCATTAATTATACTTGGAATATCCATCCAGAATGTATGGAATGCTTTTCTTTTGATCTATAAAGTAATACAACTCCTCCAGCACCAAGTGTATCACTACTGCCCAATGTCATGTAATAATAGTTTTCTGGGCCAAGAAAAACATTGGGATCTCTAAAGTCAGCTCCTAATTTTAGGCACTTTTCCTTCAAATCTGGTAGATCACTTATGATAATTTCAGATTCGTTGAAGGGTAATATGGTGTCTTTAGTATAAACAGTTCGCTGTATTTCCGGATTTATTCGTGCTAAATTTTAAGATAACTTAATACATAACATTAATTTAACTATTATTATTATCAGTAAAGAAGACTTGTAGACCATCGCCATCGTGTATCGGAACAGCTGAACCTGAAAATAGCCCACAATCGGTACCACATTCTTTGTCATCGGGACGAAGGAATATAGGCTGATGAATCCAGTTAACCAAATCATTACTGATTGCGTGGCCCCAATACATTGAGTTCCATTGTTTGCTGTGTGGATAGTGCTGGTAGTATAAATGATAAAGACCATCTTTAGTCCTACTAAATCCATTCGGATCATTTGTCCAACCTAAAGGAGGTCTAAAATGGAAGCTTTGCTCCATATTCGGGCCCATTGCCAGTTTGGAAATAAAAGCAGGACGAATCCCGTTGCGTTTAACCTAAAGATTCTAATAAAATAATTGCTTAAAAATTGTAAAAAATACATTTTCAGTTTCATATGCATAAATATAAGAAACATTTGTGTCCTCATCTGACCAACTGAGTTCAACCTTTCCATTAAAGTTTAGTTCCAATTGAGCAAAATCAAACCATGTTGGTTCGCCATTTTCACTCGTATAGAATATAGGTGTAGGGGTTGTTTGATTTGTATTAGAAATATTGGCATAAAGGATGGCTGTCTTGATAAAAAAATTTTTTAATGCTTCTTAGATATTTTATTTAACCGAGCCCAGTCTTTTTGGCTTCAACCAAACATGAATGATCGAAGTATTTATTAAATCAACATAAACTGAATAAGAATTCTGAACACACCCTGCCTCAGTTGTCGAACTATAGCTTGTTTCAGTGTTTGCTGATGATATTGTAGATGTTTCAGGTTCGGTTATATCATGGTTTCTACGCGTATAAGTAATAATACATATAATTAATAAACTTATAAATAATTTTTCATACTTGATTAGCTGTAATAAACCAAAGGTAATAGAAGCAACAATTAATATAGCGCAAAGACCGGCAAGAACAATCAAAAAGGTTTTTAAACAAGAATTAGGCTTTGAAAATGATTTAGGGGTAGGTGAATCCATTTTATTCAAATATGAAAAATCTTATAAATCAGGGCAATGTTAACATTAATGATAAATTAATTTTTAAAACCCAATTATGTTAAGGTGTCACATAAAAATTGGTTCGATATTGATAAGATATTTATGATAATATTAAAGAATGTATTTGCTTATTCATGAATTCTTGCGTTCCCTTTTTTATGCTTAAATCGTAATAATAAAAATTCCTAATTTATGATTAAATATTAGTTTATATTAATTAAATATTTTTCATTAAACAATTTTTGATAAACAAAAACAATAAACTAGTAGATTGTTAAATTGATGAAAGTCATTCAATCACTTCAATTTTCCCATTAAAAATTATTTGAGCTATGCAACAGAAGGAAGCTTAATTATTAATGATTTAATTAAAAATTAGTTCCGAAAGGAATTAATATTACAAAATATCCTTGGGTTGGGAAATTAATCAAGAATGGGGAATTATTCGAACGAGGGAAATTAATCGAGAAAATGGGGTAATCCAAATTAGAAACCAACCATTTACTTGTTCAGACATTATTCTATAAAACTCGAATCTCCTTAATCCTTTATCCCACAAAAATAGCAAATAAATAATTCCTGCAAATGCCAAAACAATTAAAGCAATATAGGCATCCGAGAACTTTTGTAAAATAATAATAGAAACGAGCACAATACAAATAATTAAGAAAAGTATTGGCAAAATTATTGGGGTTTTAATTATTTCATTATCTTCGGTATTTAATCCTAATCTATAGAAGCGAATATAAAGGAGAGCGGATAAAGTAAAGCAACGTTGTAGCAATTGGGCAAAACCCATTGAGACGATTAGTTGCTCAATATTGCCAGCAAATGAGAATATGAATGCCAATAATACCTTGAAATTTTTGATAAAAGTTATAATACATATGCATATAAAAATTTACATGAACTAAAAGAGCTGATCTTGGACTTTCATTTTTCTCGTTTACACACGCAAGGAACGCTGGTAAATGGCGTTCACGTGATGCCGCAAACAAGTATCTAATTAACTTTGTAAATTTCAAAGTAAATTAAGCCTAACCTGCTTGCAATAAACATAGTACCGTTAATCGAACCAAGCAATACCAAATTAATTAATAGAGGAACAGTCCAATTAGCTAAATTTTGACCAATAATACGTTCAATAAACGTCTATTGAAATTATTAATTATGTTAAAATATTAATTTTAACCATTGCGACAGCATTGGAAACTTTCATTTCATCAGCTGTCAGTAAAGTAAAATAAGCACAATTCATTGATGTGTAAAGTAAAGCAACTAGAGACATGCCGCCAATGATTGCGAAAGGCATTACTCTTAGAAATTTTTTTAGTTTATAAGATTCACGTAAATTTTCACCTTTCAGGGCTCTTAATTTCCTCAACACCCCAATTTAGAATATCCCAACCATCATAACTGTAAAACCCTCCCAGCAAGGCAGCAGAAATCTGACCTGCCGAGAAGCTTGAGTTGACAAAAAAGTCATCAATCTGTTTGAATTTGCTGCCTGGAAAGTGGGAATAAAGGCGAGATAATACTGAATAACCTTTCGAGAAAACTTGGAAAACACCAGCTCCAATAACAAAAGTACAGGCAGTTAGTTTTGCCACAGAAGAAAGCATCTGGAAAGGGGCACCGACTCGACGGATTGAGAAAAAATTCAAAAAAAGTATCAGCCCTGAATGTCCTCGTTTTATTAATTTTAGAAAATATATTCTTACAGACAATGGAGAATCCAAACAGTTTATTTAGCCAATAGACATGGGGATTATCAGAAAATCCAAGACCCTGCGAATAACAATGAAAAAATTGCTTACAAAACTGAAATGCCTGAACAATGTACTCGCCAGAAGCACTCGCTGCAATTGCTAACTGCATTGAGAAAAGGGCTAAATATACTAATTTTGTTCTCAAATTCGATAAGAATAGATTCAAAATTTTTATCTCTGATTAGATATGTACCTGCATAGGATAAACGATCACGCAGCCAGAGACCATAAACATGAAAGCAATCCAATGCCTAAGCATTCTATAAAGTATAGGCAGATTTCCCTAGATATTTACCATTTTACAAAGCAAAGGTATGCAAAATCCCCTCCAGATCTTTTTACAATTGTACCCAATTCCAAATAACAAAAGCCCCCAATTGTACAAAGTATTGCGGACAGTACCCAAATTATGATCGACATTCCTGCCTGATTATGAGTTTTATTGCTGTTTAAAGCAAAAATAACTAACCGATCCAACTTGATTAGATATAGCTGTGGGTGCAATAAAAATTCCTGCGCCTACAATATTTCCCATTACATAACTTATGGCACCCCAACGACCCATTTTGTTGTCGGATGCCATTAAACTTGAAAGCTCACTAACTCGATTATCAAGATTTTTGTCCTTTTAATTAAATATTTTATTAAAGGAATTATCATTTAGCGTTTATCATTTTTGATTGTTCAATAATTATTGTGTAATTATTAATTTGGCCTATGTAGCTATCAATAACCAATTATACTTTTATCATTATTTATTTTTATACAAACAAATCACTTTATGTAGTTAGAAAGTGTGTAGTCTACATATTTAATTTTGATAATTGAACAAATATTAATAAAACACTGGGAGTATGGGAGTAAAAATGATGAGAGGAGAAGGCTAACAATGTAAACTAACTAATATAAACTGTAAAAATGATTAAAAATATTTAAATTAGAAAAATAAAACAACAATAAAATTTGAAAATAATTAAAACAAATTTTCGGAAACTGCAATAAGCACCATGTAATTAGCCACCCACTTGCCTAGATCAGTCGATTTCAGTTCCCTATCACTTGTATCATTACTGCTAGTGGATTGAATAGACAAAAGAAATTCGGAACCGGGCAATAAAAGCCTTCGAGAATGTAGTGTTGCACGACCATCATTTTCAGCTGTAATGCCAAAGTGAAATTGTTTTGGTCGATATGAGATTGAGTTTTGATCGTTCAATGCGTTCGTATTGAAGGAATTACTTTCGGCACGAATATTAAATTTTGTTCGTTTAAGCAAACGACCATTCTTATCGTGGGCACTTAGTCGAAGCTAAAAAATTTTTTTGTCTAAATATAATGAATTTTTCCCAAACCAAAGCAGTATTGACAGCAACTCCGTTGGGTAATCCTAACATGTAAAGACGTATAGGCAATTCTGTACAATTTTGACATGATGGCAAGCATTGTTGGCTAAAAACAAATTTAGAAATTAACTTGATTTTGAATTAAACTTTGTTTTGTCTAGATGAAATTTTGGAGGGCAAAGGTTGTTAATACAAGAGAAAGTGCCAAGTTTGTTAAAACAAAGCTGATCAGAAACACATGGATAAATGTCATTTTTACATTCATCCAGATCCAAACAGCGTCCATCTTCGCTTAAAGAATAACCATCTGGACAAATACATTTGGATGAGCCATTGTCCAGGTCCTGGCATTTGTATTGGCAATTACTGCTTGCTAGAAATTTTTCATTTTTTTGTATTTGACAAAAAATATTTTACAGCATGAAAGATTTGCAGAAGGTAAGGGAGACACTCTCCTAGTCTCTCGGTTCATAACATTGCTTTCATCATCCATTTTTGGCATGCATAAAGTCATTAAACCATCAGTGCCATTCAATAATAAAGCATCCACATCAGATTCTTCAGTCCAATGAATGTAAGGATCATTGGACTGTTGGGGACGATCACCACGGGCTTTTACATATGTGCTTTTTATTGGCGCTCCATTCTCATCACATTCAACATAGATGCGATCCCTTTTAGTGTTAACACTTCTCTCGCCTTGGGATACTTTAAATATTAACTGATAAGTACATAATTAAGTCAAAACTATTTACGTTTAACGTCAATTTTGCGAATTCCAATAGCTTGACCTGCTTCATTTTTGGCAATACAACGATAAATACCATGGTCATCCTTTCCTGCATTAAGAATTGTTAATGAATGTCCATCATCGGAGATGAAGTATTCTGCAAAAATAAATATTCCTGATTTGAAATTCCCATACTTTTCAAGTCGGCAACAATATCTTTTTGTGGGTCAGAGATTTTCTGCCATGAAATGGTTGGTTTGGGAGTTCCGGAAGCTAGAAAATGTTGAATTAAAATATTTCTAATGAAGGAAATCCTTACAATTACAAGTGATTATAGCTATATCACCACTAAAATTGATAAGTTTATTAGTTAGGGTTGAAATACTCAAGATACCTTTCCACACGTATTTGATCTCGCTCTGGTAGTATCATTGGTCGAACTGATAATTCAATTATTATATTTTAATATAATTAAAATTACTCACTAAGAACAACTAATTCAACAGTTTTGTTATCAATACCAGCCCAATTTTCAGCTTTACAATTATAAAAACCAGCATGTTCAATCTTAATATCGTGAAGGATTGCTGTTGCAGTTCGTTTATTTTCTGAAACAACTACTCCACTTGTAGACTGTTCTGAGCCCGTAACAGCGGTTGGCATATCTGAATGGGATTGTATTTTGACATTTATCAGATCTGTACATTTATTCAACGGCATTTGATCTCTTAACCAATGTATCTTTGGCGGTGGAAAGCCAAATGCTTCACAATGCAGCTGAGCTGTGTTACCACGTGAGACGGCAACTCTAATCCCGTTATTTTTATCAACTTTTGGAGGTACTAAAGATTTTTATAAAAATTGTTAAAATAATATTTTTACTTCCAACAACAACTTTTACTGTAGAATTAACACTTCCTGCCGAATTTCTAACGGAACATGTATAATTTCCAGCCTCTTTGAGGGTAATATTTTTAATTATTAGGGGTTCAACTTCATTATTTTGTTGTAGTTTTTGATTAATTTCAATAGGTTTTCCATTGTGAATCCATTGGATATTATCGTTTTGGCCAGTTAATCTCACTCCACAAGGAATATTAATTAATTGACCCTCAATAATGCGAGATTCCCTAACTGCGGCAGCCTTTAATAATTTTTATTTATGAACAAGATAATTCTCAGACATTATTATCAACGAGTACAGGCGGTACAATTATACTAACATTGAACTCTATATGTGAAGCTCCAGCAGAGTTCGTAGCTGAACAACGAAACTGAAGGCTATTGTCTTTTTGTTGCTTAACATCCATCAAATAAAGCGAAGAAGTTGTATTTGATTCGTTATTAATTATTTTATAATCTTCCTTTCTGAAAGCCATTGTTGATGAATTAATTGGTACAAAGTCCTGAAGGGTTTATGAATTAAACTTGATTAAGAATAGTTAATTTACGTCATTCTTGTTTTTGTCAGCGATACTCCACAGTAGATGAGGTGGAGGATAACCTTGACCTTTGCAAGGTCCCAAAGTAATATTCCCACCTAGAGGAACTGATAACTGTGTTGGCAGTTGAGAAGGCAAAGATACTTTAGGCAAAACAAGTACCTCCCTAAAAATTATTTTTAAATTTTTAAAATATCCAAAACTAACAGCGTAAATGCTTGCTGATCAGTGCCAGCCTCATTTGTTGCCACACAGACATAAATACCAGAATCTGAACTGCGTACATCAACAACCTTATTGTTAATATTTTTAAATAAAAATTTAAATTAATAACTTTAAGAAAGGAATTTTCCACAGAGTATCTGGCACCAGTCTCGACAAGAACACCATTCCTTTGCTAGGCAATAAAAAATTTTTTGAAATTTAGAACAGAATTCTACCCAGGCGATAACAGGTGGTGGTTCACCAGAGGCATTACATGCTAAAACAACATCATGATTTTCGAGTATCTGTGTTGTTCCTCCTCTCAATTCAATTTTGGGAGGGTCGAAGACATCAATCTTACAAAATTAAAAATAAATTTTTTGGGAAGGTCATTATATCAACCTTATATTCAATACTATCATTACCAGCTGCATTAAAAGCATTGCAACGATAAATACCCCGATGAAGCAAAGAAATATTGTCAATTTGAAGGAATTTTCTTTTTCCATTATCAATAGATAAAAATGGTAAGCCCCCTCCATTTTCCAGTGATATTCCATTAAATGTCCAAGTAATTTTGGCATCAGGTTTTGCTTTAACATCGCAAAAAAGTGTGAAAGAACGTCCAAGGGGAAGTCGAGGATTTAATTCAACGGCTTCCTTGTCGATTTTAGGTGGCACTTTTATGGAAATAGGGGAATATTTAATTATTCTCTCAAAGTATTACCAAGTATGTCAATTTTAATGCTATCCGAAGAGTCACCCACTTCATTCTGAGCCTCACACCGATATTCGCCAGCATCCTCACTTCGTAAATTAAGAATTTCCAATCTTTTTAAATATTTTATCAGATTAAGGGAATTAATGCGGACTGACCGTTGTCCACCATCGGAAATTATTAATCGACCAGGTGAGGGTATAATTGTTTGGCCTCGAAGAGACCAATGAATCACTGGTTCCGGATTTCCATTTACGGCACAAAGCAGCGTGAGTGCTGAACCCAAAGGTTTCATTGGGTTCGAATCTTCAACCTGCATTTTTGTAGTCGGCACAACTAATTTAGTAAATAAGTTTGTTGGAATATTTTAAGAATTTTGTTCACCCCAAACATCTAGGCTTATATTTGCAACGCTTGATCCAGCTGTATTTTCTGCTTGGCAAGTCCAAAGGCCAATGTCATCTTGTGTTGTTGGTTGAAGCTCAAGACCATGACCTTGATCAAGTAGACGATAACGTTTGCGAAAATTTTTATTTTTTGCAATATCTACTCCATTCAGAAACCATCGAATGGTTGGGGGAGGGTTTCCACTTAATTAAATATTAAATTGAAGAAAATTGGGCAATTAAAAACACACCTAGCTGGACACCTTAAAAATTATTCTGAAATTTTGGAAATTTTTCGAAAAATACCAAAGCGTGATCGGTCGGCCAGCGATCACATGAGGCTCTGGAGAATTTCTAGATGTATCAATCTTTGGTTTGGCTGAAAATACAAGATAATGAATAGCCATTAGTTAATTCTTCGAAATTTAAATTTTGTTTAAACGCGCTTCGCTTTAAAAACCCGCTTCGCTTTAAAAACCCGCTTTGAAATTTAGGCGGAAAAGAGGAAATTCAAACTAAACTAATGTTGGGTTAATGAAAAGCTCTAGGAAATACTAGTTAATTAAATAAAAAGGGGAGATTTGTGACAAAAATAAAAAAGCATACAAAGAATTTCAACAAGAAACTTGACATAAGATTGTCCGGCTCTATTTGATGCTATGCATTTGTATTCGCCTGAGTCAGATATGGAGGTTGTATGAAGCTGTAATCGTTTACCCGGATATTCGCTTATCTTGAAAATAAATTTAAAATCGAAGATGTCAGCAAATTTCACCTCAATATTAGCATTTAATCCTGGCTCTAAAGGCCTTCCATCTTTTGACCATGCAATTCTCAGTCGTCTTCCATCATCAAAATCCTCTTCCATCCTTCTCCAAATTTCCTCTTCCGTCAAAGACTCAGTGATTTGTTTAAGTAAAGACGCCGATTTAATTTTTAAAGGGCATTCCAATTCTTTTAATTAGTATTGTATAGACTTCAATTACTTGAACAATTACCTAATTGTTCCCCCTCCTGTTTAGAAAGGGGTGGTCCAGGTACTCTACCATCTCCAGGTTTAGCTGTTTCCTCTTCCATTTCTGGGGGTAATAGGACTTCCTTAAATTTTGAAATCTATTTTGTTGTTTTATTTGGTGGTTACTTACAAGTCTAAATTCCTCACGCAGTTGACCAGCCTAATTTATTTTTAAAATTTTTAAAAATATAATCAAGATTTATTGATGTACCTCATTTTGTACTGTACAGGTATACAAACCCTGATCCTCGGGGATAATGTTTTTAATCGACAAAGTTTGATTCTTCTCTTTTAGTATATATTTTTGTGCCAATTGTGTAATTTGCCGTTCGTCCTTATGCCACAATACAGAAGGCTGAGGAGTGCCAGAAGCAGGACACTCCAGAAACATATCCTTTCCAAGAATTGCTAAAGGGCTTGCTACGAGATTTGATTTATCAATTTTAGGAGGGACAAAAACGCGAAGCAGTAAATCCAATTCAGAATTTCCTGCCTCATTAGTTGCATTGCAAATGTATTTTCCTCCATCTGATAATGAAGCATGAAGTAATGTCAGATTCTTTTTATCATCAGAGAAATAAGCATTTTTAGTGTCAATTGGATCAGTTCCATGCAACCAGGTGATTTCTGGGAATGGATTCGCTTCCACCGGACAGACCAAAGTAACAGAATCACCTTCAATAACCTCAAAGTTTCGTTTGCCTTCAGAGGCAAATTCTGGCGGTGCTAAAATTTTAAAAACGATGGAGATATAGATTTAATGGCACTATATGAAACGAGGTCGGTAATCGTTTTTTTCATTACTTTTTTCCATTACTTTTTTCCTTCCTTAATTATAAATAATGGTCAGTCTTTTCTTCCTCGTTCAATTCCACTCTTTTTACCTGTGGCATATTCAAATGAGGACAGACAAAAACACACACACGAACAGACAAAACACGAGTGTTTTCTGTTCGTATCCGTTCGTGCTGTCCGTGTTTTGTCTGTCCGAGTCCGTCCGTGTTTTGTCTGTCCGAGTCCGTCCGTGTTTTGTCTGTCCGAGTCCGTCCGTGTTTTGTCTGTCCGAGTCCGTCCGTGTTTTGTCTGTCCGAGTCCGTCCGTGTTTTGTCTGTCCGAGTCCGTCCGTGTTTTGTCTGTCCGAGTCCGTCCGTGTTTTGTCTGTCCGAGTCCGTCCGTGTTTTGTCTGTCCTCTCCTTTCAATTAATTCTTTTCTCTATCATTTCTTTTGATTATGCCACAGGCAAATATAATGGAATTGAACAGGGAGGAAAATGCTGACCATTCTGTCATATCAATGAAGGAAAAAAGTAATGGAGAAAAGTAATGAAAAAAAAACGATTACCGACTTCGTTTCATATAGAGTCGATTTAATTATTACCGATCACTTCCAATTCAAAATCCGTATTTAATTGACCAACTTCATTAACTGCTTGGCATGTATATCGGCCTGCATCATTCGCACTTACAGCCTCTAGCCAAAGATCGTTTTGATAGTCAGAAATTTTTCCACGAATTATTCGTTCAGTAAAGTGTAATTGCTTTCCATCTTTTAACCATTGGACTGTTGGGGTTGGAAATCCCTAATTGTAAAATATCGAAAATAAAATAAATAATCCCTACAATGACTGGACAATTTAGTCGAATTTCTTGGTTTCTTAACGCTCGAGGATTCTGATCCAAAGTTTCATTGATATGAGGTGGAACAAGTACAGTAAGAGTAAATGTAGCCTCTGTAATTATAAGTTTTGTGTGGGGGAAGGTTTGAACATACCAGCTTCTCCAACGCTATTGTTCAATCGGCATGTATATTCACCAGAGTCACTTCTGTGCATTTACAAATTTCAATTTATCAGAGGTATGATTCTCACCTTCTTGCCTTAACAAGCATCAAGCTATCGCCTCGAGGCGAGAAAATCAGATTATTATTTGAACTAGTTGTTTCTTCACCAATTGGGCGACCTGCACGAAGCCAGGAAACACTGGGTTCAGGATTTCCATTAGCTTGACATTCAAATTTGGCTTGGGCACCTTCTAGCACTCGCAACTAAAAGGCATTTATTAATTTGAAATAAAGTGGAAAAAACCAGTAAATTGGATGGGTTGGCAAACAAAATTGGACGGCGCAATATCTCCAGCAAAAATTCAGCAGTTGCATTACCAGCTTCATTTGAAGCTTCACATACATACCTTAGCATTGAAAGTATTAACTCTCTAATTCTTTTTAAAAATCGCGAATATCACCTGCCAGCATCCTCTGGCTTCAAAGCTTTGATCAAAAGAATGTTCCGATTTACTCCAATGCCTTCAAGATGTATATTCTCATCTTCTGAATTCAGTACAGTTCCATGTGGCATCCTTCTCCAGAGAATTTTTGGAGTAGGTGAACCTTTAGCTGGGCATTCAAATGAAGCTGTACCCCCTTCGATTACGCGAAGCAAGCGTTCGCCTTCATCAATGCTTGGAGGAACCTGTTGAACATTTTTTATTACATAGTTGCTTTACTCCCTACCAAAACATTTAACTGTATGGCCAGGCGATCTTCTCCACCTTTATTTTTAGCAATACAAGTATAACGACCGGCATGTTGCTGTCCGGCAGCATGGATATGGAGAAAGTATGAGTGTTCAGTGAAAATGGCATGTTCCTCAGTTTGTTTATCTTCATCCTGCTGTTGTTGTTGAACAGCTAAAGGATCGTTATCACTACTACCGGATTTACGCCATTCAACACGAGGTGAGGGATGACCCCCAACTACACATTCCAAACGCTGCTCCGATCCCTCAACCACGTTTAGTTCCGTAGCTGGTGCTCGAATTGTAGGTGGTCCTATATATAAGAAACATTCTAAATGATATGTGTTGGGTATTGACAGACCAATTACATCAAGAAAAATATCCATATCAGAATTTCCAGCTTTATTTGTTGCAGTACATGAATATATTCCAGCATTTTTCGGTTGCACTGAAAGTATGTGAAGTTTAGATCTTCCATTTTCGAAATATAAGCTAGCGGAATCTTCAGATGAGAGACTTCGCCCGTTATGAGACCATTCAATCCTTAAAATTTTTAAAATAATGCCAATAAAAATTTTTGAAATCACTTTGGAGTAGGAACTCCACTGGCAATACAATCTATCTGAACACTATCATTAACAAGTGCTTCTAAAGTACGATAGCCATGTGGATCCTCGATTCTTGGAGGAACTATAAATAAAATTAAATTAAGAAATTAAAGTATTAACACCAAGAACTAGAACATTAATAATAGCTTCGGCTAAACCAGCAGCATTTTTAGCTATGCATTTGTAGGCCCCAGAATCCATTCGTTGAGCCTTCATCAAATGAAGTTTTTTTCCTGACATGGAACGCTATAATTTAGTATGAGAATGATATTGATATGAGACTGATACTTGGATATGAGACTGATATTGAGATTGTTGCTCAATGGCATTACCAATCGGCATTTCATCTTTAGTCCAATGTAATTCGGTTGTTGATCCGCCATCATTTTCTAATGGGCAATCCAAGGTATGGCTTTCATTCTCAATCATCTCGATGTTTGTTTGATCTAATGCCATTACTGGAGCTGCTAAAAATCAGAAAGAAATTCGATGAGATAATGATGAAGAAGTAATTGATTCGTTCAGCTTAACTCACTTAGTAGTGAAACACTGATATCCTTTTCAGCTCGCCCTGCACGACTTTCGGCAAGGCAGGAATATCGACCAGCATGACGCACATCTACTTCAGAAATATGAAGAATCTGATCATTGTCTATAAGTTGATACAAAGGTTCGGCATCCTCTCCCAAGTCATTCAATGAATCATCAAGTTCTAATGGTTTATTGTTCTTAAAAATATGATAAGACTGCGTTAGTAATAATTTTTATTAAAGTAATTTTATTTTCACTTATTTTTGTCCATAATTAGACCAAACATTAATTATTATTCGCATAATTATAAGTATTATCAATTAAATAATAAAATAAGGAAACTAACGACCTCCATAATTTTATTAATTATACATATGATATTTTTCATTCATTCTCGATAATTTTTTATGAAAAATAACATTTTAAAATGCAAAATAGAGGTTAGTTCCATTTATATTCTAATCTATTTGACAATCCAAAAACGTGAAAAATATATAGTCTTTCCAGCCAGCCTCTCTTAAAATAGTTATGAATTGTGCAAATATTTGAGCACACCTTAATTGTACATTTTCACTTTCTTTACTTTATTGATCATTATTATCAATTCTCGCCTTTCTCGCGAATTTTTTCCAATTTTTAAATATTTCTATTAAAATCACGCGCAGATTATTCCGCAAATATTACTCAGCTTTTGAAGCATTCTAAATACTTCAAATTAAAAGACAAATATGATCATAAAATATAATCAGAACCCAAGTTTAGCATACAAGTTAAGGCAGGCGTTTAAGGTTGTTGGCACCGATTAATTCTTGACTATGGCTGTTCAAAAGTTCATATTCTTCTCTATTTGACCCACAACAGAGAAAAATTAACCGGTCGCCAACAACTATACCACGAAGCAATTTTCTGCCTAATTCCTTTCTGTCTAAATCCAAGTGTATCTGTCAAAAATTCCATTGTTAGCAAACAAAACAAATACCCATGAAAAACTGATATGTTCACCTATTTTTAAAATATACTCGTGGGAAACTCGAAATAACATTTAAAATTTTTATAAAAGCATTTTTTTGCTAATTTTTTTGCATCATTTTCAATTTTATTTCACTTCCCTTTTTCCCTCATAATAAAATGGATGTTTGGTGACACCCAATTCCTCAAATAAATTTTCCTCATTTTTCATTTTAATTTAAATTCAAAGCTGAGATATTTTAAAGGACAAAATTATCTTTTGGAATTCCTTAAAAGAACGTCTCAATTTTAGTAAACAAAAAAATATATTTTAGAAAAATTTAAGGTAATTGGTTAGCTAAATTTAAAAAATAAATACTCATCCTCTTTTTTAAAAAAAATTCCAATTCCCCTTCCTTGCTCATTTTAAAATTCCCCCTCTCTCCAAACAAAATCCTATTTTCCTATGTGAAAAGCTAGTAGGAAAATGGCACTTCTCTTTACTGCACATATTTTCTAAACCAATAATTCTCCAAAAAAGCTCATTTTAGCTATTTTTTAAATGTAAGGGGCCATTCATCTGGCCCATCTCTCGGCTGCTTCTCAGTTGCTGTGCAATTATACCTTTGGGAAAAGATGTGTTTCCTTCCAATACCAATAAAAAGAGGGCGGTTATCAAGACTGCAGTTGATGAGCAGACTGGCATTTGTGGGCCATAGGAGGGGTAAATCTATCACTCGCCTCATTCCCTCAAAATTTTTTATGGGGCTAAAACCTCCAATTCATTTCCTATCCAAACCATTATCACTATTCGCTTTATGTAAATCGCCTTAATGTAAAAAATCTTTAAAGTCGGAAAATTAAAGGAGAAAATATCCTCAATTTCAATTAGCCAAATTGCTTTTTTCCTACGTAAATATTTTTAAAAAAACCGACATAAATTCAAAAAAACTAAATATTTTTTCCAATTTTTTACATCATTTATTCATCATTCCCCTCTTTGTTGCAAATATTTTGTTCAAAATATGTTACAAAACCTTTTCTTTAAAAACCCCGACAATTTCAAATGATGGCCAAAAAACCTTTAGTAAAAAATGCCCAGGTGACCGGCTGGCAAAAACAAAGTTTTTTTTGTATAAGGATAAAATTCTGAATGAACGAGCAGTAGGTTTGAGAGAATAAACAGATGGGTAGTAGCAGAAAAAATAAATTATAAATAGATAGTGCAAGAGGTATGAAAGAGGTAAGTTGGGGAGGAAGTACTAAGGAAAAAAAACTTTTGTGTGGCCAATATATAACAAAGCTAACCAATTGCCCCTTTCATTCTTTTATGCCTTGAGGCAATTCTGTCCATATGTATGCTTTTCACAGCATTAATATATTTTCAAGTCCCTCAACTTTATTTTCTTTTTTTTCTTTTCATCACAGCATTTTTATGCTTTTCCCTCCTTATTTCAACATCTGCTTTTTGCTGCCAGATGGCAAAGAGCCCTGCTTGTCCTTCAAACTTGAGGGATAATTCCACTAGTTGCGGGGAAATAAAGGAATTTACAACATATTCTTTTTTGTTTTTACCTTCCAAGACAATCAACTAATCTTGATTTTCGAAATTTATACGACATTCTTTTACTTATCACTGTTATTTCTTAATTCTTGTAAATTTCTATGACAATCAAAAACCCTGAAACAAACTAACAACCCCCTCACTTATCATAATTTATCAAAATATTAGGGTTGTTCACAGTTGGTTAATCGAAACCGAAAACCTGAGGTAGAACCCCGGCATAACCAAAAACCGAGGATACCGTTTACTAACCGATAGTGAACAACCCCCCCCCTATCATCATTTTAGTATCTGTACCTAAAAATTAATCTAGTAATGGAATACTTTTAGAAGTAAATATTTGTCATATTCTGTTATCCATAAATAAATTCAACCCTCCCTTCCCACTCAAAGAAACTTGAAGCCTCCATTAATCCAAAATAACATTTGACACGCCGCTCTTAGAGGAAGCAGCTTTGAGAGGTGCAAAATAGAAACGGAAAGGCGCATCCTTGATGCCAAACTTTTTTTTGTTTTCTAACACTTTTCTAGCAAATTTGTTATCCTTTTTTACTCAAGTACATATTAATTACAAATTCAGACTTTTCAAGAAAACTTTTAGAGTTAAAATAAAAAAAGATGGTTCAGTTTTATTAATGGTGAAAATAAACTGATGATTAAAAACTGTGAATATTATAGAAGCAGGTGGTTGTTGTTGCGGCCTTCATTTATTACACAAAAAATATTGTTAAAAAATGTACAAATCCTTTGTTATTTTTGATTTAAATTTTGAACAACAATGTACAGAAAAACAAGAAAAATGCTTTAGGAGAAGAAAGCAAAACTTGAATTTTTACAAACAATTAAAGGGAATGCTTCTCTTGGGTGCAATTTTCTCATTTCAAATAAAATTTTGTGATTCTTCATCCCATTCTTATCATCATCGGTATGATGAACAACATGTCAAATGTTCGGCAGAGGGAAGTATTTGCTCAACAAGTAGGGCACAGATTTGCAGGAATAACACGTAACTTAAACGTAATTTTTCCAAATAGTTGCGGTTTTCAGGTGCGTTTCAGTATGTTCCGTTAAAGATATGCGCGAGTGTCGGTGTGACAGCGAAGAGGATAACTACTGCTTTTTGTGCTGCGGCAATGAGCGAAATCGTTGTTTGCCAGCTCATGAACATGGCATACTTAGGTATATTATAATATGCTCTATTAAGCGCTGAATCTTAAAATTTCAAGAGATAATGGAGAGCGTTGGGAGCGTGATGCATGCACAAGATGCAGAATGAATGGGGACGAAATGGATGGAATGCCATGTGATGATCAAGACACACAAAGGCTATGCTTACAAGGAAAATGCTCAAAATCAGTCTGTGTTGATAAACAACAAGGACAATATTGTGATAAAAAGTGGGTGAAAGAGCAAATATTAAACTGGAATAATTTTTTAAGATCCGAAAAAATATGTGTAGACGATGTTTGTGAAAATCCATGTGCCAAAATTTCACCCTATTTAATGGTATGTGAATGTCCAGCAATAGATCCAGATACTGGATTTGCATCAGAAGACCGTTGTCAGCTTTGCTGTTTTGACTATCATCAGGTTACTCCAAATAGATTTAAAAATCTAACATAAAAATTATTTAAAAAAGAAGCCATCTACAAGACGTTGCCGAAATGCTCATCGAAACTATGGCATTAAATCAGCACAAGATCGCCCAATATGGAGGATAGGTTTAGAATGCGCTGGCGGAAAACGCTGCAATCGCTATGGAATATGCTCAAATGATGCTTCACCCGGTGGAAGGAACCAAACCCGTGTGTCAACTTCCCTACTTGCAATTATTGTATTTTCTATATTAATATTAGCCGTCCTAATCACTTCAGCTACGACCATTTTTTCAGAATCATTTTAAAACTAATTATTTACTTTTATTTTTAATTGAGCCTTTTTACATCATATCCATACTAATCCTAATTTTCCTAATTTTTATACAGAGTCACGGGAAAAGACAAATATTCAGTTATAGCTAGAGACCGGTATGAGTTATCTCAAGAAATTTCGATCTCGTCTTGATCCGGTTTCTAGTTATTGCCTATGAGATGTCCTTTTGTAAAATTCTGTATAACTCCCTATATTTGGCAACATTTTCACATTTAACCCTTATTAAATTGTACAGTATTGGAATATTTAATTTTTTCAAAGAATAAAAATTTACTAGAATTATTTTAGTTACCCACCTTTTTCCAAATAATTTTAGGCCAAGGTGCTCCCTTTAATGTACAATCCAGCATTATAGTCTGGCCCTCGAGTAACAAATATTTTGTATTAGTCGTATCAATGAATCGAGGTGGTTCTGAATAAAAATTCATCAATTTTTTCATATTTTCAAGAGGAAATTTACCCAGAATGTTCACATTAAATTCCCTTCTAGCTTTTCCTACAGAATTTTCAACCAAACAAGTATAGATTCCCTGATGGTTAGCAATTTGGGCATCAACAATGTGCAACCAAGCCCCGTCAGACTGGATTGATACATTATTAGGGAGATTAGTAGAATTGTTCTAATGAAATATCATTATTAGAGAGTATCTAAATATTCTCTCACAAAAAGCCAAGTAATCATTGTAGATTCCCCTGGGTTCTGCAAATCACAGTTCATTGGAAGAACTTCTCCTTGCATAACTTCAAGCATGGCATCATTTCCCACTTTGGGTGGAGCTTAAAATAATAATTTGATTAATTTGGAGTAATAATGATCATTTTTGATCACTCTATTTTCCAATTCATCAACTTTAATTATAGAATCCCATTAGAAAACTTAAAGCATTGAGTAAAACCCCATGATACATATTTATTAAACACTAATAGTCCCATTAACTAATTTGCTAGAAAAATAAAACTAGGAAAAAATAATCCGCAACATGGATTACGTACACACATTCGATTAAGGATTAGTGATATAGAGGTTTCGCGCGTAAGGAACACCAAGAGGATTGGATTTAACACAGACAAGAGTAGATAGAAAATGAAGAAGTGTAGTCTTCATTTTTTAATTCTTTCGATAATTTTTTATAAAATTTATAAAGCAACATTCATAATTTTTCAATAAATTTATTTAAAAAATGGATGCCTCATCCATGAGACAAAATAGTTCAGCCCCGTCTGGAATTCAAAATACTCTTGAATTGAACCTATTTAAATCCCAGCAGATATCTCAACAACCTCCAAAACGTACTAAACGCTTTCAAAATTTCCAAAGTGTTGGCGGGAGTTTGTCCCTAAGTTTTGACACTTCTGCATTGGAAGACTTATTAGAGATAGGAAAGAATGAAGATGAAATTGAAGAGGAAAAAAGACGTAAAACTATAAACGCTATTGGATTGGGAAGGAATGTTGCTGATATGATTGCTACAAATAGAAGTGGCATTGAATTTTTTGCACCAGAATATAACAAAGATGCCGAGAAGCAACATAAGAATCAGCAAGAGGATAAGAAGGATCTTGTTCAAAGTAATGGAATAAAAAAATCTAAAGAAAGAGTTGAAATTGAAAAAATTAAAAAATGTGAGGAAAAATTTTTGGAATCAAGAGATTTTGAAAATGAAGAGGATGAAGAGTTTTGGAATGGGATTAGTGCATTGAAAACTACAAAATATGGAATAGCAACGGTTCGTTAATTAATAATATACCGAATTTTCTTATTAAGGCCCCACCTTTATTAGAGACACAACTTATTTAATAAAGCCCCCTTTGAAAGATGGTTAAGAGATAGAGGACCTATGGGGCTCTATTACAGACAATACTGCATTTCAAAATTTATAATTGTTTTTTAAAGTGGTGCATAGCATGGAATGGAGCAGCTATGTATCTTGTTTCTGATAGAACAGGGGAATTCTTGATAAATTTATTGCTTGGAATTTTAGGATTTTGGCAAGCCAAAAGAATGTTTGTTTAATGAATCTTTTCATTCATATATGTACTATAATTTTAGTTCTAAAAAGCAAAGTTTTCACAAATTACTAAGCCTATTAACACCAACACTGATCTTCATACAAACGGCTCTAATGGTTTTACAACGGAGTGCACTCGAATCTTTTGGTGCATTCAGTTAGTTTGTTCATTAAAAGAATGGTAAAACTCTCTTTTAAGAGATAACCCTGCCTATCGCCACAAATCATCAAATGAAAAAGCAGGAATTTAATTTTCAATTTGATGGGGAATTAGCCTCGGTTTTTGCAATTGGAAATACTGTATTGATGTGCTTTGTATGCTACTGCAATTTGAGTGTATTGCGGCTCATTTTAAATAAATTAGGCACTAGATTGGATGAACTATGTATAGGACCTTTGAAATGATAGATGGATAAAGGATGAAGATTAGAAGAGATGATAGAGGAGCAAGAGAATATCAGAGACAAGAAAAAGCCATATAAGAATGTGATTAATGATCTTGTGAGGCCCTAGTAATCATTATCAAACCCATGTAAATATGTATTTATGTTATTTTTAAATTTAAAACTATACCTAAAACAAGCGTAGTTTTTTCCAGTTTTCCAGCCTCATTCACAGCTGTACATGTGTAACGGCCAATATGTGCAGAACTAACCCTCAGAATTCTCAGGCTGAGATTCGGCTATTTAATAATTAATTTTTAGAAATCTCTTTAGATTATAAGCATACCAGAACAATATATTCGGGTGTATTAACATTTAACGGCTGGGAATCATGAGCCCAAAGCACTTTAGGCCTGACTTGCCCCTCAGGAACTAGCACAGGGCATGGTATTTCAAGCTGAGCTCCATCCTTGGCCACTAGTACATCTTCAATATCTGTTTGGAGCATTCTTGGTTTCACTATAAATTGAGGGAAAAAAATATAGAGTTAATCTTGTAAAAAACAAAAACACGTCAAAAAAGGGAAAGATGAACAAGTCTCAACGAAAGGGTTGGATAAGCAAAGCTTTGAATATTTATGGCTTTCGCGCGATTTTTTGAAATTTTTTTCTTAGATTTTCTGATTAATGTAAACTCACTTATCAATTGTACATTAACATCTTGTAAAGCATTTCCCGCAGCACTATTAGCTTTACACGTATACGTTCCTTTATGTGCATCAGAACCATTTTTAAGTAATAAAGATCCATCGCGAAGCAAAATTACATGCTCTTTCGATATAGCCTTGGAAAGTGGTTGTCCATCCTTAAATGATCCAAAAAGTTTTGAATTTTTTGTCTTTAAAAATTTAGAGACCTTAAACCATTCGATTTCAGGGCGAGGATTACCAAGTAGGACAACACAATTAATTTGTAAATCCCTTCCTTCGACACTTAAAATTTTATTTATTATTTAAGAATAATTTCTTAATAAATAATAAGAAAAATACTTAACAGTTCCATTTTTGAAGGCAAACTGGCAAGAACAGGACTCACTTAATTAATTAAAATTTAAAAATAAATGCCTGAAAATCCACCTAATCCAGTAATAACCAAATTTGTGCGCTTTCTTTGTTCTCCAAATTGATTTCTAACTATACAAGTAAATGTCGACTGATCGGATAATGATGCTCCTCTGATGTGAAGACTGTCATCAGGCAAATGAGAGTACCGCAATTGTTCTTCTATTAATGCATCAATGGGGGAACCATTTTTAAGCCATTGGATTTGTGGTTTAGGATTTCCATCAACTCTACAGTTAAGTGTTGCAGTTTGCCCAATCTGGACATAAACAGTCTCCGGACTTGGTAGGATTGTTGGAGGGCCTAGTTAGAAAAAACAGAATAAGGAGAAACTGTATTTAACTCACTTCCAACACCAAGAGTGAGTGGTTTAATTGCCGATCCAGCAATATTCTCAGCTTTACAAGCATAAGTCCCAGCATCCAAAATATCTGCACGAGGAATAGTTAAACGTCCACCTTCTTGAATTTGTATATAGCGGTCATTAAATAGTTGTCGGCCATCCTTCCACCAAACAATTGTTGGAGGTGGAATGCCACTAATGACCTAAAAGGTATTTCGTGATATTTCACAAAGTATATCATCCAAAAATTTACTTGGCAATCGAGAATAATTGAATCATCTTTAGTTATCATTTGTTTATTTTGTGAGACATGAATGGTCGGTGGAACTATAAATGTTAATTTGGATACTAAATAAAGAGCAAATAAGTACCAGCTATCTGAACATAAGCAGAAGCTATAGCATTACCAGCTAAATTTTTTGCTTGGCATGAATAGGAACCTTCATCCTCGTCTTCAACATCACTGACAATTAATTCATCTCTTTGGCTAATGTAGAATTTTGGATCAGAAAATATTGGGGAACCTCAAAAATTGAATCAAAGATAAAATTATTTTCTGATAATTTTAAAAAACCTCTGAAGAACCACGTAACTTCTGGCTTCGGCACACCTGTTGTAATGCATTTCAAAGTAAAAGTAGTACCTTCAACGCTATATAATTCTCGTGGTTCTACTCGTACGCTTGGGGGTTGCATAACAGTCAACCAAGCAGTTTCTTCGCTTTGGCCTCCAGAGGTTCGAGCAAAGCAAGAGTAAATACCGACATCATCAAAAGTCGCATCGTGAATACGCAAAGTGCCATTATCATAGGTATACTTAATGGAATGTTAATTTCGTTCCTCAACTGGAATTTTAATATCAAAATACTCCTAATTAAACATACAGTTTTCGCGGAATTTCCAACATTTAAACTGTGGTTGTGCATCCAGTTAATTCTCGGTCGTTCTATACTTTGTGTTATGCAGTGTAAAAATGCAGTCTCATGAAGCATAACTGACACATTTCGCATTGAGACAATGTCAGGTGGCAATTCTGATCAGAAATATTTTGAGTAAACAAAAGGTAATTGAACCTTTTGATTCAAGAAAAGTAGAGACAGAATGATTGCCTAAGGAACTAACTACCAAACAAGTATAATAGCCACGGTGGGCAGGAGTAACTGAATCTATTGTCCACGTTGAGGTATCTGTATATCTATATTGAGAATTAAGAAATAATCATGAAACTATTATAAAACTCTTACTCATAAAAGAGAGGACCACCGATTGTTCTACTCCCAAAAAGCCAATGTACAGTAAATGGCACACGTGATTCAATTGAACAAGTAAGATTTATAGCATTATATGCATTTGCTGTGAGCCTTTCAGCCATGTAAGCTCTAGGCCCAACAACATCTACAGCAGCAATTGCTGTAGGAGTTATTCGTAGAAAATCGTAGTTCTTTAAAGGGCAATGAAATAATATCATTCATGATTTACCTGAGCATCTTTTCCTCTCACACGCACAAAAAAGAATATTTTTGGTGGAATTAAAGGCCCAACAAAATGGAGGTAAGGGCCGTCTCCTGGATAGAAACGAGACTCGTTTCGATAAAGTTCATTTCCGCTGTAGTCAACAAGTGATACATGCTCCAAAGCACCTGGCGGTCTCAGGCCAGTCATTTTAATAAGTAAATAAGTTGGTTGACCAGCTACGGGACGAGGATGGGTCTAAAAGTTATAATATTTGTGAGATTTTCTAATAAATTTTAAAAAGATCTCGTTTTAAAAACCCACTAAATCGATGGAAGAAACCGGTTGAGCGGCGAATCCGTATTTGAAGTCAATATCTCCATGCCCAAAAATTAGTAAAGTATGCCTGGAAAAATTTTTGATTAAGAGACTAATACAAGTTGAATGCCTACTTTAATCTACTACTGGTTCTGACTCGCCAAATGCCTGGCACGGGTGAAAGTAGCCGAATTAGCTTTATATTTTTTAAATTGATTGTGCCATCATCATGTTCGTACTTGTCTATTCGTCTATCTGACAATTAATGAATAATTGAAGGAAATTTATTTTGGGTAAATCAACTGTGTGGATCAACCAATTCAATGTCCATCAGATCACTATCATCTCGAACTCCAGCCAATGATACTACCAACTCAGAAAATGATGTATCAATCGGGACAAGGCTACATTTAATAGTAAAAATATTTTATTATCTTAATTATCCACCTAGTGTGTGTCTGACCATGTTCACGAACTTCATAAAGGATGTGAACCTTACGTCGTGCTACAGAATGACGTACATACTCGAGAACTTAAAATTATTTTTAATCCGGTTATAACAATTAATTTATTTTGCTACCAGTATTAACATGTGATTTTTCCAGGTGAAAAACTTGTCCAAAACTTGCGGCTGCTATCCTTTCAAATACTTTATATCCAGGGGCTGAACGATTTCCACAATCACCAGTCATTACAAAGACAACCTGTTTTTAGAAAAATTTTAAGAACAGCAATAGGGTATTAAAATTCTAATAGGACCCACTGAGCTTTGTTTCTCCTGTATAAGGTTGAGTACGGCACTTTCAAGATGAAAATCTTTGGAACGCGCATCGGTGAACACGTAAATATAAGATCCTGGCAATGAAACTTCAAGCGCTTTCTTAATGCCAGAAAGAGCCTAGAAAAGAGAGATTTGTAGGATTTTTTAAATTCAAAATATTAATGACCATTTCTGGACAATCACCACCACCCTGTACAGAAACGGATGCCAATTGTTGCTGAAAAAGATCAGGATCTGTTGTAATAAATGGATCGCTCACTTCTAAAGATTTTCAATTATTAAAAACAGGAATATTATTAGCCTGCCTGGATCGTGGAAAAGAACGAGAATAAAATTGTAGATGAGTTTCTTCCGTTGTTTCATTACAGTTTCAAAAATTCCTTTAGCCCCATGCCGAACTTGATTTAAATCATCTGCAAACTTCCTGATTTTTAAAATCATATTTTACTCAATTACCATTCATTGAGCCAGTCGCATCAAAAACAAATGTGAGGGACGAAACGTCGGGAGGGGGAGGAGGTTGGATATTAGCTGCCCCTTCCACAACATCCCTTTGAAGATGATATATCTCCTTATTTGCTGGTTGACCAAGTTGTAGTTCATATAAAGGGTGTCCATAGTCTATCTGGTTTATTGCTGTTGATGTTCTGATCAAGATGGTAAGCAATACTGAGATAATTAGGAAGGAGTGATCATGTTGCATAATTTCAATATTTTATAGCTTTAACGTTGTTATAAGCAAAATAGAAGTAAAAATTTGATTTTAAATTCATAAAAATTGTCTTAAATTTTCAATTATTAAATAAAAATGTTCCTGCCAGCCAGCGTCTGGAAGGTCCGGAGAGGAAGGATGAGATACGACTGGAGGAGAGAAGGTTGGATATTAACCCCATACCTTAAGTACTATTGTACTACACTACGGCTGGCAGAAAGTATTGAGGGAATTAGTAGCCTAAAAGTCGAGAATCAAGAGGTACTGGTTTGAATTACAGATATGTTTTGTTCTTAAACTTTTTTCACAGTTAAGTTTGTGCAGGCTTAAATTAGAAAATTGATTAACCATCAACATGTTGGTTGTATGTTTTTCTCATTTTTTCTGTAACATTTCTCTTTTGAACTAAAGGCAAATCGAATAATTAGAAAATTTACTTATCTTATGGACAATCTCTAAGCTAGTATGCTAAAATCAAAAGCAAGGGGAAGAGTGTGGTTTATGTAGATGAGACTAAAACATCATCGTGATTTAAAAAAATGAACGGATGAAAACAAAGCGCACGTCTACATTACTATAAAGCAATCTTTGTTTTTTTTACTACAGCATAGGCAATATACATAGGAGAGAAAAAACTGTCCTTTGGAAAAAAAGTTTATTTATATGTCACGGAATGGACCACCACCACCTAAAGGCTTATTTCAGTTGACTTCTATGCCTGTCCCCCTAAAATTCTCTCCCTCTCACATTTGCCCCTCTCCAATGAAAAAAGTGCAGTCGATTAAAATGATCAAATTTCATATACAAGTTTATAATGGCGTCTGAAAGTTATTTTTAATAAACCTATAGCAAAGGGCATGGGTCTAAAAGCATCAGATCAATATTATAATTTATTGATTAAAAATATCAAAAATAATAATTTAATAATATAACAAATCAGGGATGTCATGGATTGAGAAAAAACCGGTTCGGATTTTGGGTAACCCGTGATATCCCTGATACAAACCTATCATATAAACAGAAATCAAAAGAATGTCAAACCATGTCACAAAAAGTCAAAGTTTCTTCAAGTTTCTATTAAAATTCCCAATTTTTGTAGTAAATGATTTTACTAATGTTTTAGCACATTCTTGTTGAATCACAATATGGGGCTGAATTTTAAATTATCTCATAAATTAAAAAAAAATAAAAAAAACCTCAATAGGTGCTCTAACAAATTTCATACAAGGCAAATATTCTTCAACAAAGTTCGGTATATCAATCTCCACATCAGAGTAGTGTTCAGCAAACAACAATTTCAATATGTTCACAATCTCAGACAACTTAAAAAAAATTTTTAGATAAATCGTTCAAAAAAATTTTCCAAAAATTCAAAAAAAATATAAAAATATTAAAGAATTTAATCTTAGAAATTTACCCCAAGTTCCCGATTTGCCAAAACAAGTTGAGAGATAACTGCAGCAATTAAGAATTTCTTTTCCTATAAAATAAAATTATTATAAGGGCTTGAAACTTTTTAATTTGGGTAGCACCCCCGAAACCTCTTTAAAAAATAAACTCCGAGACCTTCCACAGCAAACCTTAATCCATTAACCACAAGGACGTAATCAAGGGGGCGATTTCATTGGGCTAAAATGTGCCAAAAACTAGCCCACTGGATACGACTTTGGTAAACCACTGACCCATGAAGAGTCAGGGTGTGCATCCCTATCTTTTAATTATAGTAATATTTACATTTGATTTATCAGCAACAATCAATTTTGGTTTCAAAGGTTTAGTTTTATTTGAATCCATTTTCTCCAAAAGTTGTTGAACTCGTTCCCTTCTTTGTTCTTCTTCTTTTGCACGTCGACCAAACCTTGTAGTTTCCGCAAATGTTCCCTCCATTGGAGCATCCGTTTGATTTCTATTTTCAAATTGTTGAAAGAATTCTCTTCGTTTTTTCATACTTTGTGCTGCAATTGCAAAGCGCATATTATTTCTCTAAAAATTTTAATATGATATTCCAAATATAAATGATTAAAAAACCTGTTCGGACAATTTTTTCAATTCGTCAAGGTCGATTTCTAGAAATTAAAATTTAAAGGGACAACAATTCTTTAATAAATCTGACAAAAAAACGGGTTAATTGCTTATAGTTTAACAGTACTGGGTATGGCTCCAAAATCAGGAGCTGATTTAAAAATCATGAGCTGATTTTAATATATCCAAAGCCGGAGCCGACTTTTAAAAATTCAGTGTTTTTCATTAGGGTATAATAGGAAATTGGTACTCCTGCCGATTAAGGAGGTCACCGTTCTCTGATCGAGTTAAGGATTAATTTTGTTTGATAAAAGAGAGAATAAAATTCATTGGCCTCATAATTGCCTAAGAACTGCGGCCTCTTAAATGTCAGGAGTGCCAAGAATTTTATCTCAAAAAATAATTATTTATACCATTTTTAACACCATTTTCCTTCTTGCTTTCACTAGATGATGGGACAGAAGCATCACTAGTTGAACACAAATCTTTATTGAAATTAACAAGGCGAAATTCTTCCGCTTCATCATCAATTTCATCATTTTCACTGTCAGTAAATACAGCACCTTCAATAGCGCTTGTGTAGCGTTTCTTAAAAAACTTTTTCAAAATAAAATCAAAGTAAAAATAAACCTTGTTAATTTCCTCATCGACAACTCCTTCGCTAACCTCTTCGTCACTATTAGAATTTTCATCATTGGAGTTGGAATTGTGTTTATGTACAAGATTAATGTTTTTAGCCAACAACGCATCGTCTGTGTAAAAAATGCTGGAACGGGTTACTAGAGGCTTCACAACAGGTTTTGGCTTCTAAAATAAAAGAAAAAATTTTGAAAAAATTCATTATTAAAAGAATTTTAGGAAGTTGTTGGATATCCCACCTAGTTTGAGTATCCGTTATTCTTTTTTCATCACTTATTGCTCTCAAGCAACATAAGTAAACATTACGAGATTTGACCGTCAAACGAAAACTGAAAATCAGACTAAAATTTTACCATTCCGTAAAGGAAGATAAAACGATTATTATCAGTAAAAAAATAAGTTGACCAAATATACTAATCAAAAAGGAAAGAATAACCCACTCAAGCTAGGGAGGAGTGAGATATCCAAAAAGTATCTAAATTTTAGTGGTTTCTAGTCTAAAGTTTCATTAATATCAAAAGAATAACCTAAACAGATACCAAGGGCGTATCCAGGGGGGGGCTGGGGGGGGCTAGAGCCCCCCCCGAAATGGAGGAAAGGGGGAAAAAATTACGAGAAGGGTGGTCGAAAAAGTCAAATTTTTTCGCCTACAACCCTCAAATTTTAAAAAATTTTCGCCTGCGGCGCAAAAAATGGAAGAAATCTAGCTTCTTGAGCTCCAAAATCCTCAAAATTTTTGCCTGCGGCGCTAAAAAGTGAACTTTTTTGGCCTACGGCCCTCCAAATTCAAAAAATTTTCGCCTGCGGCGCTAAAAAAGGAAGAAATCTGACTTTTTGGGCTCTAAATTCCAAAAAATTTTCGCCTGTGGCGCTGAAAATGTGAATTTTTTTGGCCTACGGCCTTCCAAAATTTTCAAAATTTTTGCCTGCGGCGCAAAAAGGAGTGAATTTTTTCGCCTACGGCCCTCTAAAATTAAAAAAATTTTCGCCTGCGGCGCTGAAAAGATGTATAACAAAATTTGCGTTCGGAACGCCAAAAATTTTTGCGCCCACCCAGTGTTAGCCCCCCCCGAAACCGACCCCCTGGATACGCCCTTGACAGATACATACAATTTTTGGCTCCGGCGGCGGCTTAATCACTCGCAATTTTCTTGGTTGTACTGGCTGTATATTTTTGGGCTTTTTCGTCTTAGATTTGTTCTTCAATTTTAATTTTTCCGCCTCTTCTTCCATTTTAATAGCCTCCAATCGTTCTTTAAGGATTTTCTCACATTCAGCATTAACCTCATCCATTGTTCGTTTCATTTTAAAAAGAAGAGATCCCGTCCTATTATTATCGGTGAAAATTTCAATATCATTGTATAAATAAGTGTCGATAATTGTTTTAAGCTTGCCAGTTGGAAAAAAGCGTTTTAATTCCTAAAAAAATAAAATACAGGCAATGAGTATTAAATAAGGGAGCGCGCCGTATTATCAAACGCCAAATACCAAATCCCCAAAGGCTGCCAAAATACCAAACTGGAAAAATATAAGTATCCGATCACATAGGTTGTTTCAGCAAAGATGAAAAAACTCATCAAAAATCACCACCAAGACAGAAAACAGTTTGGTTAAAAGTTTGGTATTTCGGCGTTTGGTATTTCGGCAGCATACCTTAAAAGGTAATCAGTCAAAATATATTTTATCATAAAAAATTCAAAAACAAACCGATTTATTCATTTCAACTCCATAATTTTGTTTATACTCATTTTGAAGTTCTTGTAATTCCACTTCCCTTTCTTCTGCACCCAAACTGTGTAGACATTTCAATAAATTTTCTTTTCCCATAAGAATTTTCGGACAAGATTTTGGGTCGCGAATTAAAACCTAAAAAGATTTTTTATAAAATTGATCGAAAAAATTAAAAACCTGTAATCTTCTAAATTTCTCAGTTTCTTTTGCACTTCGAAAACGATTAGCATCTTCTATTGAGCTTAAAATATGGGCAATGTCTGGCCGAGATTTGATCTATAAATATAATCTTTTATGAGATTTCAGTTTAAAGCCTCAGAAAAAATGGAGATAAAATTCTAAATCATAACGAAAATATGGATTAAGGATTAGAAATAGTAATCGAACCGGACCCGGCGGATTTTTCTGGCTTCCAGAACCCAAATCCAGGTTTTCCCCAATCTCAGAATTTTTTCGAACCGGATTAATCCATAAAAATACGGCGGAATACAAACCGCTCTAGGAAAAATCTGGAACCAAATCCGGAAAAATAAATTTGACAGGTCACTAACTTTTAAATCTCATAATTCAAAAACTAAAATAACCTTGTAACAAAAAACCTTCTCAGGATTTACATTGCCAGCACCCTTCGCCATGTCAGTATAACAAGGTTCTATAATGTCACGAAAGTCGTCTGAACCCAGCATGGCAGGAATTGATGGATATCCAAGTTTTTCAGCAAGCACACCAATATCGTTACACGTATCTTCTCTTTAAAAAATATTTTAGAAATCAATTTTTAAATTTAATAAAAAAATTTATAGATTGGGGTGGATCCAGACCTAGAGTTTTCAGGGATTTAGAGTTAAGATCAAGGCTTTTTTCAGTATTACATGAATTTTTTACTCAAAGTCAAGAATCTGGGAAAGGTTTTCAACTATAATTAAGAGCCAAGGTCAAGGCCTTTTTTTAAATTTCCGATCTCTAGAAAATTTTAAAAATTCTAATAAAATAACCTGAATGTTGTAATTAAAACTGGAATAGTAACTGGACTATCCGCACTGCCAATAGTGCAAATTAATTCCTCTCGTACATATGCCATTAACTCCTCACGACTAATTTTTGTTGTATTATTAACACAAAGGAATTCATCACCATTCATAATCAACACTGAAATAAATTAAATTAAAAATTTTGAAGAGAAAAAATAAAAATTAAAAAATAGTGAAAGTTAACGGCGCTAAAGTCTCACAAAGAGAAAAATTGCACAAGCCCAAATTGGTAACAGATAAAATAATACTAGAGGTCGGCAAAATCTTGTTTGTGGGATCAAGTATGTGGGACAAAATTAGAAATCCGTGAATCGGTTTAAAAGCTGTTATATGTATTTCTTTTGCCATTTAAGAATATTTGTTTCAGGATTCAAAAATTTGCCCTATTTGGCATAATGCTATAAGAATAAATGACACTTCATCCCAAAATCAATAATCGATTTTTGACGACTCATCTAGTGTTCTCTGTTGTCCATTTTAGCAAAGATGTTCTACAACTTGGAGCGTGGCTTTTCCTTTTTTTGTTGGGAATTAACCTTTTTAGGGGGGAGGGTAGTATTAAGTTGCGGACAAGACTTGCAATTTTTCAATTTTTGAAAAATGCATCCAATTTTTTCAGTGCTTCAGCAGCAGCAACAACAACAACAAACAACTTCAACAGCAGCAGCAACAACATAAGTCCCATGTATCGCTTCGGCGGTATATGGGCAAAAGTCCCATGTATCGCTTCGGCGGTATAGGGCAAAAGTCCCATGTATCGCTTCGGCGGTATAGGGCAAAAGTCCCATGTATCGCTTCGGCGGTATAGGGCAAAAGTCCCATGTATCGCTTCGGCGGTATAGGGCAAAAGTTTTGAAAAAAAAAGTCCCATGTATCGCTTCGGCGGTATAGGGCAAAAGTCCCATGTATCGCTTCGGCGGTATAGGGCAAAAGTCCCATGTATCGCTTCGGCGGTATAGGGCAAAAGTCCCATGTATCGCTTCGGCGGTATAGGGCAAAAGTCCCATGTATCGCTTCGGCGGTATAGGGCAAAAGTCCCATGTATCGCTTCGGCGGTATAGGGCAAAAGTCCCATGTATCGCTTCGGCGGTATAGGGCAAAAGTCCCATGTATCGCTTCGGCGGTATAGGGCAAAAGTCCCATGTATCGCTTCGGCGGTATAGGGCAAAAGTCCCATGTATCGCTTCGGCGGTATAGGGCAAAAGTCCCATGTATCGCTTCGGCGGTATAGGGCAAAAGTCCCATGTATCGCTTCGGCGGTATAGGGCAAAAGTCCCATGTATCGCTTCGGCGGTATAGGGCAAAAGTCCCATGTATCGCTTCGGCGGTATATGGGCGATGACTTCAACTCCAATGCTCTCGTCTACATGGTAGCTTTTTTACTTAATTTAAATTCGCAAGTTTTGTCCGCAAGGTTTCTCCCCTAAATAAGTTTATCCCTTAATTGAATGTTAAAGCCAATCAAATGGTGGCCAGAACGAGAAGACGTACAGCAAATGTTCAATGGTTAGATGTACTGACTTGTTTGTTTTGAATGGTTGATCCCTTTTTTAGGTTGTTTTTATGTTTAAAAGTTTTTTAATAACTCAATTTTTAGCCTTGATAGAGTTCCAGAAGCTAAAAAAGCTTTTAAAGAGGTTATTTTTAATTATTTACTATTGTTTCAAGATTATTTTTTAGGGCACAGAATTGTTGGGCACGGAATTTCTAGGGCACGGAATAACAGTATAAAAGCTTTATCAGTTCCCAGCTTTACTTCATAACTCGTCTGTCATCTAAGACAACACAAGCAAATATGGAGTTTTGGACATTAACATCGCTGTTGTCGTTCATGTATCTTTCGCTGCTCACCTCTTCGTTCATAACGACTTCGCTACTTGATTGCTGCTGTTGTAAGAAGAAAAAGAAGGCAAATAAAGTTGGAGGTAAATCTAGCAGACCTCGTAAATTGGCCTCTGTAACTCCAGAAAAGGTTGATTTTTGAGGTTTAATTTTGTTCACTTAATCTTTATTTAAAGGAGGCGACCCGTGTTGCTGCTGCTGGTAAGAAACCAACAACTATCCCCAGCCCGCCGAAGACACAAGTTGGAAAGAAGACAAAGGCAAACACTGAGGAAACCACTACAACTAAAAAAGTTCGATCAAAAGAATCAAAGAAATCCAAGCAATCAAAGAAGGCGAAACTCTCAAAGTCTGGTTCACCCAAAAATTCCAAGCATTCGCGCAAGCACAAAAAGGATAAGGATGATGGAGGTGATTCAGAATCGTCGAAAGGGGCTTTGGCGGATGTTGTAAGTTGATGATTTTTTGTGGGCATTTTTAATCTCTTCCTTTTTTAAGCATTTGAGTGCTGAGCCAATCAAACCGAGGTCATTCGTCCTTGATGAGAAGGAGGCAAGAATCAAGAATGAGAGTTTGAAGAAAGAAGAGGCAGATCCATATCCTACAATTTCGGCTTTTCTTTCGGATAAAGACGATGATTAAGAACCTTGATGAGGATTTCTATTCTGTATGTCAAATATCTTCAAGTTATAATTGTTAAAAACATTGATGTTTTTAATGTATTTACCTAATAATTGTGTATAAATAAATGTTTTTATTTATGTCTAGTTTGTCATAATTAGGGACCGTATTTTCTGAATCAAAGCCCCCGTCGTATTAAAGCCCCCATTTGGAGGATGGTTGAAAAATAGAGCCCCATGGGGCCCTATTAAAGGAAATACGGTATAAGTGTTTAAATTTAAAATATGAAATGTTTTGCTAATTAAGGTTCTAGTACCCAACGAAGTGCACTCTAGAACTGCATAATCTCAAGACAAATATTGTTTCAATGAAAAATATGCTGACTGCATTCTCTATTTTTGAACGGTCAACCTCCCATTTTCAGACCAGAGTTCCTATTTAATTTTATGTACTGATAAATTTATTGCTTATACGTGGATTATTATTGAGTTAATAATTTTGATAAGTATTTACTCTGATAAATAAAGCATAAATTTCATAAACTTAAGTTAAATCTAAACTCGTTTCCAATATTTTAAAATGACTTGCCCTTACCTTTCTGGTCGTACTGTGATAAATATACACGAGGATGAAGTGGAAGCTGAGATTAATCGAATTAATGAGGAATCGTCTAGGCAGAGTGAGCAACTACCATCAATCTCGAGCAGTGTTAGCGAAGGAGTTTACAAAGCAGCGATCTTTACAGATCAAATTTCGTACAATGGCTACTTACAGGTTAGGCAAAAATAGGCAATAAAATCCAAAAGACTTTTCATTTGAGCTTGATAAGCTGTTGGATTGTCAAGTAATGCGTTCAAATGATGGAAAGCGTATTATTCCAGATGAACATCTCTTCATTATAACTCATCAGACTTATGAGCTTTGGTTCAAACAATGTATTATATTAATTAAGAATTGGAGTTTGAACTGGACCTAGACCGAGTTTTCTTGACCTAGTAGTACGGAAACCGGATATTTTGATAGAATCCGGGTTTTAAGGGCGAGGGGGGGGGAGGAGGAAGGGGATCGGTTTGAAAGAAAACAAGGACTATATTGAAAATATCAAGTAATTAACAAAAAAAATTTCAGTAATTTTTGACATTGATCAAGTACGCGCATTGCTATATAACAAGGCAAAAAAAATTTTTATTATTTAAATCATTTCTATTTCTAGATAGTGGATGAAACAAAAACCCTTCAAATTGTAAGCCTTTTGGAAAGGACTGCAAAAATACTAAAATTACTCGTTGATCAAATTTTAATTCTGGAAACTATGAGTCCCTTAGATTTTGTTGAATTTAGGTAGCTAAAATTATTTAAAAATCACTGTAATTTTAAAGAAATTTTTTAACTTCCGCTTCGGGTTTCCAAAGTCTACAATTTCGTTTACTCGAAAATAAATTGGGAATTTTGAATAAAAATCGTGTTTCATACAATTATCAACATTATAAAGAAGTGTTTATCAAAAATGATCAAGAAAATGATTTAATTAAACAATCTGAGAGAGAACCTTCATTGTTTATACTTATTGATGTATGTTTGAGTTCAAAATTTTTTAATATCAGAATAATAGCGTTGGTTATCTCGAACACCTGGAATTTATGAGGAAGAATTTGATGAAGATACGGATGAAACAAATGATTCTAGAGAGGATAAACCAGATTCTAATGGTCATGGGAATGGTTCAATGGGAAAAAGAAAGACATTTTGGGACAGATACTTGGAGGCAAATTATAAAAATTTTTTTAGGAAATTTGAAAATTTAACAATTTAAAGGCTGTTTCACAATATCTTTCATTTATGCTGGAAGAGGTAAACAATCCAAATCAGACAAAAGAGGAGCGTGAGCTTCGTTGGGATGAATATGTTAAAATTAGACGAAGTTTTCAAACAATTACTAATGAAAGCGATTATAATACTTTTGTAGAAAAAGGTTGATAAGGTAGTTGACTTCGAAAAATTAACAAAATTTAGGTGAACGCCGTCTTAGCCACAATGCACTAAAAGGTGCGTTGATGATCTACTTCTATAGGGATATGCCTCGATTTTCTCAACCATACCAAATCCTTTTTCATTTAATGGATATTGACTCTTTATTGCAAAAGTGGCGATGTAAGCATAATTCCTTGGAGATACCATCGGATTTGTTTTTTAAGATAATCATTTGATGCTAGTTCAACGAATGTTGGGAAGCAAAATTGGAACGGGAGGAAGTAGTGGATATATGTATTTACGGTAAGCTAAGAGTATGGGTCATAAGATTAATAGGCCTTTACTACTTTTTATCTTAAAGCTCAACAGTCAGCGATCGCTACAAGGTCTTTCTTGATCTATTCAATCTAAGTACTTGGCTGATACCGAGAAACTACATTCCTAAACTTTCCCCTAAAATGATGAGGACACTTTCGGGAACATGAGTAAACATAGAAAAAGATAATGAGAAATGATATTGATACAAATATTGATAAGAAATTTTTTTGATAAAGAATTTTATCATAGAAATAGAATTTTATAAAATTAAAAACAATTAAATAAACAAATAAAAGTTAAAATTAAAATAATGAAAGCTCTTCTCAAATTATGCGCAATAGAAATCCTTAAAGTTGAAGAATCGCTGTTCCAAGGCAAATCCATAATTGAGGGATAATGTTCGTCAGTTAATCCATTAATTTTACTTGCTCCAATATGGAATGACATTTCTGAGTCGAATTCAGGATTTGAGGATTGAAATGAGCTAATTGCTAGATGGCCGGTGCTGAAGTGCTCGACCAATTCTGCACCCAAACCGAGTGAAGTAATTGCCTAATATTATTTAGAAATCAAGAAAATGGCAATTTTTAAGCAAACCTGTAGCCTAAATCTATAGACAGCTTTAGGGTTGAGATCAGTTAAGTGTTCTATCCTTTGCTCAGGACCGACAATTGCTACTTTGGAGGGAGTATCTAAAAAACGATATAAGGTTAAACCTGCTATAATATTTCTCTAGTTGGCAAGTGTTAAAGTTGATAGAGGTTGAACGAGTTATTTAAAAATAGTGAAATACAAAAAGTTGGCCGTAAGAGGTCTTGAACCACATATTCTTTGGTACCCGACACTATCAAACAGATAAACGAAAACTCTTCGCTTTTAAAAATTGCCTAGATTACTGTAGAATGAGAGAAAAGGGATACTCGTCTAATAAACTTCTTCAATGAAAACTTACTAAAAAGAGTAGAAGACAGAACAGTTCGAAACCCGATTAGTTGGTTGTTTTTCGGTTCAAATTGTCTTTGCCAAGTCCAAGAACAATCAGCTGTATTTATTGAAGTTGCTAAGCAATTCAACCTTTGGATATCTTGTTGATTGGAATTTTCTGCCGATTTTTTACGTTTCTCATTGTCTTCTCTTAACCTCTTAGAGTTTTCAATTAAGGGTATCTCTTTATTATTTTTATCCCCTTCAGAATTCTCAATTAATTCTTCAATTGGAAGCCATTCTCTTCCAACATTTGAAGATAATTTGGTAGATCGAGTCGTTGATTCTGCTGAATTTGAGCCTATTTATTATTTAAAATATGCGCCGGAGAATATTTACCATTCAAAGGTAATGCAAGAGCAGGCAATTTATCACTGTTTGAATATGGCCAATTAATTCTTTTACCAAAATCTTCACTTGATTTGCATGGTAAAGGTATATCTGAAAGCGTTTGTTCACAAGGCAGTGTTGAAAAAGTTAAACGGGCAATCAACTAAATAATTTAATTTTCGAAATTTTTAAAAAATTTCAAGCAATTTCACATTTTCATTGCTGTTTTTCAATCTTTGTTGGTCTTCGTTAACAATGTAACTTTTGATCCTAACATAATATTCGCACTGAAATTGAAGATTTTCAAGCGTAGCTACACAATTATGAACATAAAATTCTTGTGGGGGTAATTGATTCAAGCAACGCATTGACCTAACAAATACTCGGAATTGGTGCTGAAAGTATTCCAAATAAATTTTTGACTAAAAATCAACTAATAAAGCCTACATGATTTCCCAATAATTTATTATCGGTACAACTTGGATGGTCATTCCAAGAAATAATTGTCTTCAAATGATTTCCCTCAAAGAATGGTGTTTTTACATGGGCTACATAATGAAGATTTTGAGGGGTTTTGGATGGTTCCTTTAAATAAATCAAGGAAATCAAAAATTTCTTTCTCAATTTTACCACAAAATCATTCTTTTCATTGGAAAATGGCAAAAGATTTTCGACGTTAGAATTGTTTTTGCTTTGTTTTTTGTGAAAGGTTGCGCCAGTTTTGAGGAAAAGGACAGCTGGTTCACCTCGTAGTTCACCCTCGGCAGTGTCCACAGTAGCTAGAAGCTTTAAAAAAGGAAATTTGTGAGTAATTAGCCAATTAAGTTAACTTCAACAATATAAACTTGATTTTGTTCTAAGCCAGTAATTTGTGTTTTGGTGGTAGAACTGGGCAAAACTAAGCTTCTTCTCAAAGGTTCTTGATCCTATAATATATTTAGACTCAGAGATCTAACTAAATTTTTTGTAAATACAATTTCAGATAGTTCAGTTCCATCATAGTCATCCTCATCATGTCCTTTAGAACTGCGACGTTGACGCAGTTCAAAAACTTTGGCTAATTCTAATGAAGTTTTCCTTAAATCAGATCGTTTTATCAAAAAAATTCCCTAGACATACCACCAACTGAGACGATAATCTTTTATTGGTATATCTGATGTAGGTGGAGACCATCCTATTTTGGCTACCTCACCGGTGTTAGATTGGATATCATCCCCTAAGGGTAATACAGTGAAATTATTTGGAGGCTGAAAATGATAAATTAAATGATCAAATAATTATTATCACCGATGGACTTTTAACTTCCTTTGTAAGTTTAAATGGTGGATGACTTGGCTGGGAAAAACCATCTTAATAGAAACATATTTAATAATCATATTGCTCAAAACCCACAAGTTCCGTAAACATTAACAGCTGCAACACGAAAAAGATAATAACGTCCTGGAGTAAGCAAATGCTTGAGAATTGCATACATTTTATTCCTAACCATTACCTAACATACATATTTTAGTTTCGAAATTATTTATGAACTTAAGACTGACGGTTTGCCAAGGTGTCATTGTTTCGGGATCTTTGCTCAATGACCACCTCCATTGGATAACAAACACTAAATATGGTATTATCAAAATATGTTTATAAATTCTGAATACAATTAGCATATGTTGAAGTATGTTGAGGAGTCATTCGCTTCATTACCCAACGAAGAATGGCTGATCTAACAATTTTTTAAAAAATTATCTACAGTTGTAGGGCAGTCAGAACCTTTTCCGTTTCCTTTCCTGAACTGTAATCCCCTCGGGCATAGGTAGCAACCGACTGTCGTTCAGTTTAGGTACTAAACATGTTCGACTACAACCAAATGAGCAACACTTTTCAATCTAAAAATTTCCGGATATTATTTGAAAATACCAGGCCAAATTAGACCTCCGCGCAATCTGTATCAGAATCACAAAAGGCAGAGCATTCCTTAATTTAATAAATTTTTAAATAACAAAGGAAGCCTAAGAATCAAAGTTTTAACTGTATCAGCTATCCATTGCCTTGTTTGTAGCTTTGGGCAGTGTCCCGATCTGTTAACAGCATTTTGAATAAATGTACATGACTGGCGGCAATGGTTAGGCTCTGGAGCTTCCTTGAAGAAGGACAATTTTTATGAAAATTTTATGGTTTAAATTACCCCGCAGAATGTTTGATCACACAATTCATAATTCAGAATCAACTCGCGACACGGGATAAGACACTTTAATTTATAAAAAAGTGAAACAATTAAAAAGTTTAGTTACAGATGAGCATTGCAGATCCTCTTTGCATAGGTTACTAATTTGATGCCTTAGAAGCCTTTTAGTTTCTGCATTATTCTGAAACATAGATAATTTTAGAAATATTTATTGTATGCTTTATGTTTTTTAAAATGTCTAAATTATAGTAACAATAATTAAATTTTCCAAAATTAAATTCTTTAATTAAAAGTTCCTTCAATCTTCCCCAACTTTTATTTTACCAAAAATAAATTAAAGGCATAAAGTGGCACTTTTACACTTTTTAAAAATATATGACCTTTCACTTTTCCCCTTTTTGTTTAGTTTATTTACTCTCGATGATGAAAACTACTAGTAAAAGTATTCTTTCCCTAAAATAAACTCCTAAAAATCTCGTCGTCGTTTTGTATGCGCAAAACAAACCATAAAATTTAACAATAGAAAAAAATATATTTTAGAAAAATAAAAGAATATATAGGCTCCATTATTAATGCCCAAGTTTTCTTTTTATGACAATAGATGAAGAAAATTGGAAGGGGGATGAGGGGAAAATTTTAAATGGACAAAGGAAAAATACTTAGTAGAAAGTTGGTTTTAAAATAAAAAAATTAAAGGTCAATAAATCTTAAGAAAATGAGTTTTTTTGAAGTTTTAAAGGAAAATTTTTTAGTATTATTTTAAGTGTAGTTTATGCGAACCTTTTATTAAATGATTTTGAGTGAAATCACCATTAAGTGATTTTGAGTGATTTTTTCTAGTCTGGCAGAATTAAAAAAATATACAGATGTAGCCGTATTATTTGGATATTTTTTGGATATATTTTTTAATTTAATAAATCTCCTTCTTTATTATCGTTATTGATCTCCTTCTTTATTATCGTTATTGATATTAATATATCAAAACTTACTTTACCCCCACCTACCCACTCCCCCCCACCTACCCACTCCCCCCACCTACCCACTCCCTCCACCTACCCTCTCCCTCCACCTACCCTCTCCCCCCACCTACCCACTCCCTCCACCTACCCTCTCCCTCCACCTACCCTCTCCCCCCTCTTTTCTCCCATCTAGCTTATATACTTGATTTTTATATACCAATAATAATCGTCTTTACTATCGATATTAATATTTCCCCAAACCATAACCCAGTTCAAATAATAATACTTTTTCAGGCTTTAAAACGGCTGTTTATTGCTTTGTGGCGTTTTGTTTACTTAGTACTCAAAAGTCCCAATCAATATTCATAAATTACTTTTTATTTTATTTTTTTTTTCCGTTGTCGGGACCTTAGTGTTTTTTCATTTTTTTTTTCAAATTTTAATTAATTTTTTTTTACATTTTAAGATTTATTCTTTAAGAATCAAATCTATTTCTTAAATTTTTATTTAAGAATCATGGACATTGGGCCTATTACTTTCAAAGCACAAAAATAAAAAAAAACTGCTTCTTAACCTAATATTAATTTATTACATGTCCATGGTTCTTAAATTTCCATTTTTCATTGACTTCAATATATTTTGTTTCCTAGACATTATTTTTTTTACTTTTAAATTTTAATTGATTTTTTTTAAATTAAGATTTATTATTTAAGAATCA